CAATTTCTTTTCTCCTGCTTGGGAAGTTTTCTGCCATCACTTCTGTGAACAGTTTTTTTATGTCATCTGCACTCTCCTGTATCTTCATTGACTCCAATCAGTCTTATGTTATTCTTCTTTGCATCATCTAGCAGCTGCTGGGTTGATTTCTCGTGGTCCCTTACAATTTTAAAGAAATTTTTCTTTTCCTGGTCACTAATTGCAATCTTATCTTCTGTATCTGAAATTCTGTCTTCACATTGACTCATTCTGCTGCGAGGACTTTCAGTGGAGTTTTTAATCTCCTGGAAATCTATTTGCATCTGTTTTATGGATTCCATTTGTTCCCAGTGTTGAAATATATAAAGAAAAGTTTCCTGTGTATTTCTTCACACTGTATTTCTTCACAACTGGGATAACCAGTTGTAACAGTTTGGGGTGCATTTTTTAGATGTATTTCATCTGTGCCTATTGTGCACACCCTGATTTCACTTCAGAACATCCCATTGTTGGAGGCTGATCATTGACCTAACTTACTGCGTACTAATTGACACTTACCATTGCTTCCGTTGTTCTGCCCTTACACATACAGTGCCATTGAAGGTGTAAAATTCTCTGCCATCTGTCCTTACCATTTCTCCCACATGCAGTTACATAGGATGAGCTCCTGGCTCAGGACACTGGTAGATGAGGTCACACCACCCTCCAGGAGAGTGGTGTTCATGCACAGCCAGCAGCAGCAGGCAGCCTTTTCCCTCCGCTCTTGCCAAAACACTAGCAATAGTATCACTCTGATTTTTCACCAGTCTAATAAGGTTGAAAATAGTACCTCTCTTTATTGTCAAGTTCTTGAGTTACTTCCAGGGTTGAACTTTTCTTTGCAGAGTTTTCCAGTTGGTTAGTTTGTCATTGTCTGGATCGTCCTTTCAGACTTGTCTGGTGGTATGATAAGCACAGTCCTGTGGTACATTGCCTTCCCTGTCACCACAGTTAATGTCTGCAGAGCAGTGCTGTGGAGCAAGCATCCTAGCGCTTTCAAAGCCCCTGCCCCAGCGTTGGAAAGTTAGGTTGTTTCCAGGTTTTTTCATTATTAATTAATGAAACAACAAACATCCTGTGTCTGTAATTTGAAGCATATCTTAATGTAGAATTAGTAGAACAACGAAGGTGTCGCTGAAGACTTTTGATCTGTACCTGTATACTGAAAACATTTGAAAACCGGAAAGGACCTGAAACTAACCTGGAATAATCTCCTCCCAAATAAGGAAACGAGGTCTAAAGAGGGAGACTCCTGAGGACTCGTGGGGAGCACAGGGCAAATCTGAATCCTGTCTCTGGCTCCTGGCTGGGTGGTGGTCCACATTCGGATCAGCTTGTAGAATTGAGCGATGTCCACAGCACTGATCCCACTGGGCATGGAAGGAAGTCTGGGGGCCCACCATCCCACTGGACCAAAGCAACTGCTATTCCTGATATGTTAGATGCCGCCTACAATGATGACTGGCAGAGGGGTTTATACACCTTTTAAAAGGTTTGAACACTGGACCCAATTCCTTTATTTTCCAAGGAGGAGTCCAGGGCCTGGCCAGAAGCTCTCCCGGACTCTGTGGCAGAGAGGCTCTGAGGCCACATTGCCAAGTGTCCAGTAAGCAAGGCCTTGATCCCTAAGGTGAACAAGACTGGGCTGGAGAGTGGTAGATGACATTAGGCAGGTGGACATCTCATCATAGGAGCATTTCTTCCAGACTTTCCAGTGCATAAAGCTGCTGGGGACTTTTACCTGTGGACCCTCTACGACTGTTCAGGGTTAGGATACTGTGACCCCCTAGGATGCAGCAGCCAGTTTTACAAGGAGACCCAGAGGCAGGAAGTGGCTTGCTGTGGAACTGCTAGGGCTGGAACTGGAGCCCGTGCTTCCCCCAGCCTCCCCAGCTGACACGCACCCAGGGAGAAACCAGCAATCTGGTATCTTTATCCGTTTCTTGTGCTTTTCTAGCCCAAATAGTTCCTGCTGAGTCTGAGCACCAGCAACACCTGTATCCAGGCACCCCGAGTCTCAACTTCACTATGCAGCAGGTGCCACTGCCAGGTGTGCAGCCAGGTCTCGCCTGGGTCGGGTCAAGTTGCTGTGGTTCCTGTTGGGTTTTAGCCTCCTTTCCTTACCAGACAGAGGCTGTGTACACTCACGCCAAAACTAGCTGGGACACACAGGCTCCTGAGCCCATTTCCTGGCTCATCACAACCAATGTCCCCTTTCAGAGCAGGGTCCACAAGAGGGTGACACCCAGACAAGCTGCACATGCTGGCTTCCGTGCAGTGGTTTGGCACTGGGGCAGGTCAGTGAGGGGCAGGGAGCTAATACTGTAAGCCCTGTGTGCTGGGCACCATGCTTGGCATGTTCTGTGTTGTCTCTTACTTTACCACCACAGTGGAGTTGAGGGGTCTCCATCCTGCCTGTTTGGTAAGTGGGGATCTGAGAGGCCAAGCAGCCTGCCCAGGATCAGCCAGGGACAGTAAATGGAAAGGGCAAATAACCACAGTATGCACAGAATGGTTCTAATTTTATAAAGAACTATGTGTGTGTATAGATCTAAAAGGTACAAATAAAATACACACATACACACCCCCCCATATATATATATATATATATATATATTTTTTTTTTTTTAATAGTACTGGGGGTTGAACTCAGGGCATTTGCTATATCCTTAGCCCTTTTTTGGAGACAAGCCCTCACTAAGTTGAGACAAGCTCTTAAGTTGCCTGGGCTGGGCTCCAACTTGCAACCCTATATATATAATATGTATATATTACATACATAGTTGTCATTTTACATGTGAAGAAATGGGCTCATAGTTTCCAGGTCACAGCTGGAGAGTGATGGGGCAGGACCTGGCCCTAGCTACCCAGGCCAGAGCTTGTGCTCTTTCCAGGGTGTCCCTGCCAGTGCCTGAGAGCATCTGCCCAGAATTCATTTCATGGCTGAGGGAACTGAGGCCCAGAGAGGCTAAGTCATCTCAGGGCCCACAGCAGATGGAGCCATTTGAGACTGAAGAAGGCAGCAGGTCAGTAGAAGGTGTAGGAGGGGGCAAGCTCCTTCTGGTGCACTTCTGCCTCATGCCAGAGGAGGGTTGCTGGTAGGGGAGTGCTGTGCCCTGGGACTGTGGAGCCCGGTCTGGGCCCACAGGAAAGTGCTAGGGTCATTGAGAGCCGGGAGATGGAATGCACTAGGGGTTGACCTCCCAGTGAGGCAGGAGGAGGGAGCTGCCTGTGTAGAGGCCTGCGTCACAGCAGACCCTGTTACATTTGTACTTTGCTCGTGGAACAGGAGCAGCAGGCTGGGATGGGGTCACTAGGTTCCTCAGACAGTTAGGAGCTAGTGGTGCAGCCCTTGTACCCACCACTTACAACCTCTGCATCTGCAGAGAGCACCGCTGCACCCAACCTCGCCTGGCTCTTCAGACTCTGAAGGCAGTGATGACCCTACAGCTCTGGAAAGGCTGGCAGTGCTGCTAGCAGCCTGGATTGCTGCTACTCCCTGGTGGCAGCTGGCGCTCTGATCACGATGGCCTCTGTCATTTCAGCTGAATAGCATCGGCTGTTACTACAAGCCCTGGTTCTTCAAGCACGTGGAGAACTACCTGAAGACAAACCAGGAGGGCCTGGAGTACATTCCCCTGAGACAGTACTATCACCGCCACACGCGCAGCATCTTCTGGGAGCTCCAGGTGAGGCTGGCTGTCCTCCAGCTTTGTCCTGAGGGACCTGAGCAGAGCAGCCATGGACAGAAACAGAAGCTGGCTGTCACCAAGGGCGCTGGGAGTGGGCTCCTGGTCCACACTTGGGGGAATACAGACCTCTCCTTCCTTCAGGAAGGGTCAGCCTTCTGAGCAGAGCCAGAGAGCAGGGGGAGGAAGTGGCCAGCTCTGCCCCAGTGGGGAGTGGCCGTCCAGCATGCCCTGGAAAGGTAGGCAAGAATTTGCCTTGGGAAGGGGGAGTGGTGTCAGGAAAGATCCCTGGGTAGATGTTTGTGGGCCGGGACTAGAACACACAAGGAGGGCAGAGAGCCCAGACAGGGATAGCCAAAATGGGCTAGCAGAATTAACCACCGTCAAGTGGACAGCTCGCGGAATTTAATTTATGCACAATGTTGTCTATCTAGCTCCAAAACCTTTTCTTTATCCCAAAAGGAAACCTTGCCTATTCTGTAGTCACTCTCCGTCCCCCTCCCCCGGCCTGTGGCAATTTCTTCTTCCTCTTCCTCTTCTTCTCCTTCTCCTCCTCCTTCTCCTTCCTTTCTTCCTCCTCCTCCTTTTTTTTTTTTTTTTGTGGTACAGGGGATCAAACTCCAGACCTTGTACTTGTGAGGCAGGTGGTGGAACCACTAAGCTAAATCCCCAGCAGGCAACTTCTGATTGGCTCTCTGTCTCTAAGGATATGCTTGTTCCACATATTTCATATAAATGAGAATCATACAAGATGTGCCCAGTGTGACTGGCATTTTGCATAATGTTTTTGTGTATGTTTTCATAATGTCTCCTGTGTTTTATACAATGTTTTCATTTTTTCTCTGACTGAATGGGACTCCATTACCACACTTGGGTTTTCCACCCGTCTCTTGATGGTCATTTGGGCTATTTCAGCCTTCTGGTTATTGTGAGGAGTGCCACTGTGAACATTCATCTACAAGTATTTGTTTGAGTACCAGTTTTCAGCTCCTTTGGGTATAAATACACCTGGGAGACAGTTGCCGGGTTACATGGTAATCCTCTGTAATTTATTACAGAACCTCTCAGCTAGTCCCTCCAGCAGTGAATGAGTACTGCAGTTTTTCTGCATTTCCACCACACTTACTTCCTGGTCTTTGAATGCTTATTATTACATAGCCATCCTAGTGGGTGTGAAGTGGTGTCTCATTATCACTTTGGTTTGCATTTTCTTCTGGGTTCATGGCATTGAGTGTCACTTCATGTGCTTGTTGGCTATTTGTGTATCTTTGGAGAACTCTGTCCAGATCCTTTGCCCAGTTGTAACTGGGCTGTTTGTCTTTGGTGTGAGCTGGAAGACTTCTTTACTATTATGGTTATCAGTGTTAGCAGATACATCATGTGCAAGTACCTTCCTCTGTTCACTCTCTTGGCAGTAAAGCCCTTTTAATGTAGTGGAAATCCAGTTTATCTGTTGTCCCTTTTGTTGCTCGTGTTCTTACTGTGGTATTTAAGACTCTGTTGCCGAGTACACAATCATGCAGATTTACCCTGCTTTCCTCCGAGAGCTCTGAGGTTTGGCTCTTGCCTTTTCTTTGTTGTGTGTGTGATGGGAACCTGGCAGCATTCTTTAGCACATGCACCCGTCATCCCAGCAGGCTGCCTGAGTTGGAAACCAGCAGGAAGGCTGCTGAGCTAGAGCTGGTGCAGAAAGAGGCCGGACAGCAGCCAGAGGCTGGATCTCATGCCTCCTTGTAGGTCAGGGAGGGACTTTGTTTTATTCTGTGTGTGATAGGAAATAAGGGGGACTTTGAGCAGGGAAGTAGCATGGCCTGATTTTTGTTTGTTTGCTTTTTGGGGTACCGGGGATTGAACTAAGGACCTTACGCTTTCGAGACAGGTGACGGAACCACTGAGCCAAATCCCTGGCGACCTTATTTTTGCTTTAAAAGATCTTTGACAGTTGAATGGAGAGTAGTTGATGTGGGAGTTGGCAGGAGTGGAAGAGAAGGAAGATTCCTGTTGTCTGAGTAACAGCAGTGGAGGAGGAAGGAAGCATCAGACCTTGAGATGCTGTGAGGGTTGAGCCAGCCTGAAGGACTTCCAGACAGCTGGCCGTGGGTGTGATCACCTCCGAGACTGGAATGGACAGTGTGCCCTTGACTGCCATGGAAAGCTGGGGAGGTGTCCCTGAAGGGGAAGCAGAAGTTTGGTCTGGGGCATATCAGGTTGAGACACCTCTGTGACTCCCAGGTGGGATGCCAAGTAGGCAGTGGCTACATGTGGCGGCACTTCTGGGATTTAGCAGGGGTGATGCCTCACATGTAAATGTGGGCATCCATAGTAGATAAATGTTATCTGAAGTCATGGAAGCAGGTGAGTGAGGGAAAGATGCAAGAGCCCAGCCCTGGTACTCTACAGGTTCAGGGATGGAGACCTAATGGGAGAAGGTGCCAGCGGGATTGGGGGTGGGGAAGGGGGTAGACCAGGAGGACAAGGCATCCCAGAGCCAAGCGGAGGCTCTGCTGAGAGTGTAGCTCAGTGGTAGAGCATGTGCTGAGCATGCACGACCCCCAGCACAGAAGAAAATACAAAAGTATAGAGGAAGGAAGATGAGCCATGGTATGGGATCCTGCTGCGTAAGTCTGCAGAGGGACTGTGAGCAGTGGGGTGAAACCACTTTCTTGAGTCCAAGAAAGAATGGGAGACAAAGAAGTGAGATAGGATGGATGAGGGCTCTTTATGTGATCTGGGTGGGAGAGAAGACAGCATGGCTCTGTCAGGGAGTGGCCTGCTGGCGAGAGGCAGGACAGCGCAGGAGAGAGGGTGTGTTTAGAGGACAGGGTGGCTCCTGGGCTCCTTCCTGTGCAGCCTCACAGTGGAAGCGCAGGCAAGAGGGAAGTGGTAGCTGGGGACAGGAGGGTCATCTGGTGGTGGGAGGGTATGGGAGTTCCCTCTGGATGGCTTCTAATTTTGCAATGAAATGAGAGGCAAGGATTTCAGCTGAGGTGGGTGGTTGTTGAAGGTTTGAGGAGAGAGGAACCGCGTGACTTGGCCCTTGGAGAGGGAAATTCATTTGCTGGGGAAGTGTCAGGACTGTGTGATCATGAGTTCGCTGGGAGACCAGCCAGGGGTGTGGCTGCAGGGGCGAGGCAGGAAAGGTGGAGTGTGAGAGCTGAGCACAGGGAGGCTGTGCAGGTGACACAGTGAGCAGCGCAAAAGTGACCGCAAAAGTGACCGATAACAGTCCAAGCCAGCCAAGGGGGAGGCTGCGAGGCCTGGGGCCTGAGGAGAGCCTACAGTGCACCGGTGCCCAGGCAGAGTTGAAGTCAGGGTCCTGAGCCAGAAGGAGAGTTGGTGATGGCGGAGGACCAGTGCTGTCTGTGGGAACCTCGGAGACAGTGATGGAGATGCTGTGACAGTCTTAGAGGGTCTAGGGGTGGCAAACCTTCCTGAAGGGCGAAGTAGGCTTTGCAGGCCCAAGGCTCTCTGTCAGTTACTTGACCCTGCCACAGAAAGCAGCCTCAGCCGTAAGGGAGTCGGGGTGGTGTAGCTGCTCTGGGAAAACTCCCTACAGAAGCAGGCAGAGGCCAGATATGGCCAGCAGGAGCGCATCGGCTCTAAGCCTGGTTCCTCAGGGGCCTTAGTTTTGTCACCCACTTTGGGGTGTGACGTGCAAGTCTTAGCTGAAGCCAGTGGAGGATAAGACCACTAGAAGATAAGAGGAGGCCAGGAGGCCTAGAAACAGGGCTTGGGCAGGATTATCCCTGGATACTGAGATCACCAAAAACCAATATGGAAGAGGCTGACAGTGATCCGGGATCCAGTGGGTCATGCATGTGTGTGGGAGGTGCGAGGACTCCAAGGGAGAGCACTGTGCTTCAGTGTTGCTGAGGGTAGTTTCTAGGGAAGCAGGAGGGACAGACATGGGAGCAACAGTGAGGGGCCAGGAGGACCCAAGGCTTCGTCAACCCCAGAGGGAAGAGGCTCATGGGAGGCCCACTTCAGGGGTTCTAGGGGATAGCCAGGGCCTTGTTCCAAGCCAGGAGAGAGCAGACTGTTCGAGGAGAGCCTCAGGAGGGGGCACAGGGTGGTCAGGGGATGGTGATCGATTGGCTTAGCCTGAGGTGCCGCCTTGCTGTAACAGGTAAGGGTGCAGGAAGGAGGTCTGTGGTGACTAAGAAACAGGCATAGTCACACCTGGTGGTTTCCTGCGAGGGGCCATCAGTCATTTCCGAGTGTGGGGTGAGTAAATGTGGTGGGTAGGCGGGGGAGTCTCGTCCTGACTTGGGGGCTGCAGAGCCTCCCTCAGTCCTCCTCCCTACTTGGGATAGTGTGAGGGTCCCAAGCTGCTGGTGGGCAGTTTTGCCAAAGGCAGAAGATAACAAGTCCTTCGCCCCCACCCAGAGCAACATGGGGACCGTGAGCTTCGTCAGGAGCACGGACATGGGGAGAGCTGGATGAGACATGCACAGTGGTCGGCATGCCTTTCTCCACATGTGCTTGTATAAGTGTGATTATAGCCTTCCTACCCCTAGGAGGATGGACCTAGAGTTGTTTCCATTTTACAGGTAGGAAACTGAGTTTTAGGTCATCCGCAGTAAGTAGGTGGAGCGTATCGGTCACCTACTGCTGACAGAGGGTTAAAACAGCCAACAGTATCACAGCTCCGTTTCTGAGGGCCAGAGGATTGGCAGTGACTGGTTGTCCCTGCTGTGTGGCCTCAGGGAAGTTGGTTAAGCTCTCTGGGAGTTGTTCTTCTCACTTGCTGGTTTCATCTCCTGTTTATGGAATGCCTGCTGCATGACAGGCGCCTTAGCAGTCTGTTCCAGACACTGGGTGAGCGTCTTCCCTTTGATTTCTCATTAGCCTCACAAGTCCCTCTGCCCAGATGGGAAGATGGAACACTGAGAAATAAGGAACCAGTCCAAAGTGGTCTCATCTGGTAAATGCCAGAACAGAGACTCAAACCCAGAGCTGCCTGGTGAAGTCCTAGTAGCTCACCTTCTCCAGATCAGAGCTTATACCTAGAGTACATAATGTCAGGGACAGAGCTCCAGCCCTGGGTTCCTTCCCCTCATCCCAACCTTGGTCTTTCAGGATATCATCCCGTTCGGCAATAATCCCGTCTTCCGCTACCTCTTTGGCTGGCTGGTGCCCCCCAAGATCTCGCTGCTGAAGCTGACCCAGGGTGAGACCCTGCGGAAGCTGTACGAGCAGCACCACGTGGTCCAGGACATGCTGGTGCCCATGAAATGCCTGAAGCAGGCCCTGCACACCTTTCACAACGACATCCACGTGAGTGGCAGCAGGCACAGGCTCAGGACTTCACAGCCTCTCCCCTGAGCCCACAGCCCACCCTCTCAGTTTTGCCAGCTGTAAAATCAGGCCTTGTCCCTATGCCTGCAGACCCCTCAGTCACTTGGCAATGGCCCTGGTGATGAGCACTCTGTGAACGGCTCCTGTGTGCTGGAGTCAGGGCTGGTGGGGTCTGATTCTCTGTGCAGCAGAGCAGGGTCCAGGGAGGGTGGGAGTGTCATGTGCTGGAGAAGAGGCACCAATGCTCGCTGCTTGGCCTCCCCAGGTCTACCCCATCTGGCTGTGCCCATTCATTCTGCCCAGCCAGCCTGGCCTGGTGCACCCCAAGGGAGACGAGGCCGAGCTCTATGTGGACATCGGTGCATACGGAGAGCCACGCGTGAAGCACTTCGAGGCCAGGTCCTGCATGCGGCAGCTGGAGAAGTTTGTACGGAGTGTGCATGGGTGAGTGGGTCCTCTCAAGCACCTGTCACCTCCCTGCACCTCCTGACGCTGCCTCCCAAGCCTTCACCGCTCCTCTCCCTTTGCAGGTTCCAGATGCTATATGCCGACTGCTACATGGACCGGGAGGAATTCTGGGAGATGTTCGATGGCTCCTTGTACCACAAGCTGCGCAAGCAGCTGGGCTGCCAGGATGCTTTTCCTGAGGTGTATGACAAGGTCTGCAAGGCTGCAAGACACTGAGCCCAGCCTCCAGGAGAGACGCAGGCGGGTGGACCTGCGCCTTCCCTTCACCCAGCTTAGCTGCCTTCCCAAACCCACCTTTTCAGAAAGAAACCCCTCCAGAAATCCCACCCAGACAGCCCCGTCAGTGTCCCGTGATGTCTGGGGCACCCTGGTCAGGTGCAGAGAACGTGGGGCTGGGAGTCAGCCCGCCCTGTATCTGGGTCCCAGGGTAGCCACTCATTTGTGTGACTCTGGGTGCGTCACTTAACCCTCTGCACTCCAGTCTCTCCATCAGGCAAAGCAGGTGGTTGTGCCTGCAGACCGTCGTCCAAGTCAGCGCCTGTCACATGGAAGGTGCTTTGTACACGGTACCTATTATTACTTCCCACTCAGCATCACATCGGACTGAAGTGCTTTGGATTCAGCAGTTGAACCCAGAAAGACTCCTGCTAGATCACCCTGTGCACAGATTTGCCTGGCGTGATGAAGGGGACACCCAGGAGTTGCATCACCATTGCCTGAGTCAGCCAGAAGAGCCCCTTGCGGGGAAAAGGACAGCTCCTCTGCACCCCGGGCTCCCAGTGGGGCAACAGTAGGGCAGGCAGGTCCAAGATGTGCTGTGCCAAAGCCAGGTCCGATCCAAAGTTCTGCCTGCTGTCCTTGGCAATGTCCTGCCTGCTGTCCTTCCCTCAGGCCTGCAGGCCTGCCCCAGCCATCGATAAGCCCATTAAGAGCCGTGTCCGGGAGGCTGCTGCAGAGGAGCCTGAGCTGTGAAGCAGATCCAGAGCACCTGGACGAATTCTTCTTGGCTTCCCACTCCCTAAACCCCTTCTTGTTCCAGTACCAACTTAGTCACAGTGGGGTGCGTCAGCGTTGGGCAGGGGCTGCAGAGTGGAGTCCCCGTCATTGTGTTCTGTGAGGAGTCTCGCTGTGGGGCTGAAAGAAAGAAGCATCAGCTGGATTTTCTCCTACCCCTCATCTCCCCTTTTCTTTCTCCCACCCCCAGCTGTAGTTAATTTCAGTGCCTTACAAATCCTAAGCTCAGAGAAAGTTAGTTCTGTTTCCGTTCAGAGGGAAGGGAACCTCCAAGGCTCCCTCTGCCTTGCTATCCAAGTGTGGTTGTTTATGCAACTCCATCCTAAAAACTGCCAGCCCTGGCTGGAGCCCAGAGTCATGTACTGGAAGGAGCTGGGGAGACACAGAGCTGAGCCGGGTCAGCAGTGATTGGAGATACTGGACTCGGGACTTGGTGCTCAGTCCCTGCTCTCCTGTCCACAAGCTGTGCATCTGCAGGCAAGTATTCGTCCCTGCGAGAGTTTCCTCATCTGTCACATGGACCAGGTGAGGTCTCCCTGCAGTCCTTCCAGCTAAAATCTTAAGGCACCAATGTTGCAAATCCCAGGGAACCAACCCTTGTTTGTGTTGAAAGAAGAAAAGTAAATGATACAGGTGACACTTAGGGATTATCTGTCACTTAAGGTCCTTCAGTCCCAAGGCCTGTTCCCGTCTCATTTTAAGGCTCATCTGGCGCTGACCAGGAAGTGTCCATCTCGCCCCTCCACATGCCAGAATCCTTGTAGAGTCGCCCTCTGACTGAAGGATGCTCTCCCATACCCACATGGCTGGGCTCACGGCAGAGTGTCCTAGCATGGTCGTGCAGGCACTGGGTGCCTTTGTGGCATTCTGAAAGTTAAGCCTCCCCTTGCCCATTTGGCCCCTGGAAGAGGCGGAAGAGAGACTTCGTTTGCTAGTGTGAAAAGCACATGACTCCAGCATGTGTGCCCCTCACTCAGCGCTAAACTAATGACTCTACTTGGTGTAGATGAATGGTTACCTGAGCTAGATTAATCCACCAGCAGAAGTACCATTTCACCTTCAGAGCCTCCATCCTGAAGCCACTGGGCTGCACCACAGCTGTGTCACCCTTACTCCTCTGATCAGAATCCAGGCCTCCACAGACCATACCTGGGCCCCAGAAGGGAAGATGTTTGGGGTCACACCAGCCTCAGGTAAACATGGCTCCAGTGACATCTTGTCTGGAAAGAGGCAGTCAAGTCTTCCAAGCATGGTGGGCGAAGTTCCAGCTTTTTCTTGCAGTGTGTCTGTCCGTCTATGCAGTGGGCTTCCAACGGAGTTCAACTTGGTGCCAGTGAGCAGTGTGTGTGTAAAGAGCTGTGTGCCTCTCCCTTCCAGAGCCCTAGTTTTGGCTGCATGTAGGATTTCTGTAAGATCAGAGTTGGAGCCACTTTCTTTGGCTGGAAGATAGATTATTGGCTGTTGCTGAAAGGGAAGAGGGGTGGCTGTGGCTATGGCTGTGGCTATGGCACTGTATGTGTGTGATTTTTATTTTTTCTCTTTGGTCACGAGGACCAAGGAGAAAGGCATGAGTTTTCCGTCAGGCTTGCAGCTGCAGGGACTGTGCCCCTAGGACTCGCGTTCCTATGCTGTGGGGCCACTGCTTCTGTACAAATAAAAGTCTGGCCTGAAGTTAGCCTTTGTCCTTTCTTGCTCAGGGCACCACAGTATGGAGTCAGACATGGGTTCAGATGCAGCTGCATCACTCCAGCTCAGTTGTCCTCCAAACCCACATGCCCACGTACAAGGGCTAAAAGAACATTGTGGTGGGGGGAGCAGGGCCAACAAGTCAATTTCTGTCATTTTCCCAGGTGATCCAGAGTAGGTGTTACTGAGACCTCTGCAAGGGGGTGGCAGTGACAGGTGAGCATCCAGGTAAGGTAGCTTGGGTCAGGATGGGGGCTGACCTTCATAAGGGCCCAGACGTGGTTATCAGATCTGGCTGCAGTCCTGGCTTTGTCACTCAGTTATGGCCAACTAATTAGGACAAGCTAGTCATGTTAAGAGTGTTTTCCTCATCAGCTGGTGGAAACCACCAGCCGACCACCAAGATGCATTCCTTGCTCTGTGCACAGCTGGGCTCCACTTCGCACCCTCACATTCAGGCAGGGCATTGGGTTAACTTCTCCAAGGCAGTGTGAACAGAAGTAAAAACTGCACACGTTCACTGGACTCTTCTATGACAGTGGCTGGATGCAAATGACAACCAGACACAGGTAGGGGGGAAGTCGTCACTTGGAAGGAGCCTGGCTCCCCTTCACTGAGAGCTAACTGCCCACCACCCCAAACCCTGCCCTGGATTGTAAGAGAACAGGAAGTAGGTTTACATTGTTGAGCCACTACATATCTGGAATTAGTTTAGTGAACTCGGTATATAAAAGTTGTGTTTAATGCAATAACGTTTCGTGCAAATGAAAGGGTGTAGATGATGGACATTTCCCAAAAATGTATGCAATGTGTGTCTCCTAAAGTTACTTGCAAGGACCTCCAGGAAATTCCCTTTCCAATTGTTCAGTTCTACAAATTGGATTTTGTGTGTCTCTTTAAAGGAGAAATCTTTAACATCTGTTATGTTGTCAGCTTTCTATCACTATAACAAAATGTCTAAGAAAATCACCTTATACAGGGAAAGGGTTATTTTGACTCATGGCTTTGGAGGCTTCAGTCCATGATCATGGCCTTGCTGCTTTAGTGGGAAAGTGGTGGAGCAAAGCCCTCCATTCACAAGCCTAGGGGCAGAGAGAAGCCCAAGGACAGGCCAGGTGCTGTCGTCCATGTAAGGCCACACTCCCAAGGACCTGAGTCAGTCTCAGGTTCCCCTGGCACTGGGCCTTAGGGAGACATTCCAGATCTAATACAGTGACCCTCAAAACCACCTTTGCAGTTTAAGCTCTATCACCGTATGTTTGAATAGCACACAGCATGCGTTATCTTACTGAATCCTCACATAACCAGAAAGGAGCAGTTTCAGCCTGGCATGGTGACTCACACTTGTAATACTAGCACTTTGGGAGGCTGAGGCAGGAGGATCACAGTTGAAATTTAGTAACTCAGTAGAACCCTGTCTCAAAATGTTTTTAAAAGGGCTAAGGATATACCTCAGTGCAAAGACTTTAGGTTCAATTCTCAGTACTAAAAAGGGGGTGGAGAGAGCAGTGTCCCCATTTTACAGGTGAAAAAAGTGAGGCTCAAAAGGTCGAATGAGTTCCCCGAAAGCCACGATGAGCCTATTAATGAGTCAGAAGAAGATGCAGACTCATCTACCCTTATGGGCAAAGTGCCTAAGGACCCCAAGCCAGCCGAGGTGATGGCTGCAGACCCAGAAGAGTGAAGGGAGGCACTGGAGCCAAGTCCTGCATGTGCCAGGTGTCAGGCCCTGTGTGGAACTTGGCTCAGCAGGGAGAGCCCTGCTCTGACCAAGACCAGTTCCTCCTGTGAGGAGCCCCTCACCTGGCCAGACCCTGAGCCCCATGGGCACTGTAGAGATACCAGCATTCAGGAAAGAATTGATTTTCCAAAAGCAGACATAAGAAAAATTACATACATGTACTACACTGATTACATAGACTATATTTCAAAAATGCACTTCTCAAGTCATGTGCCAGGGCTGAGATGGTCCCCACATTTCACCCTGCGTGCCTTATTTTGTTTTGTTTTTGCGGTACTGGGGATCGAACTCAGGACTCAAGGCCAGGTGCAGCACCACTGAGCTACATCCCTGGCCCCTGCATGCCTTTTTTGAGGCCCTGTCTCAAAAAGTAAAAAGGGCTGGGATGTAGTTCAGTGGCACAGTGCTCCTGGGTCACTTCCTCTCTGGGCTGCTGTCTGAGAGTCCAAGCCAGAGCCCCTTGGTAAGTGAAGCTCCTGAGCCTGCAGCCAGGGACCTGACACTGGGACCTGTGTAAGGAAGCCTGAGAAGAAGGCAGGTACCCTAGGGCTGGTGGCAAGCCAGCCAGGAGGAAGGAGACTCTTAAGTCTTGTCTGAGTTGTCGGATTGCACTCTTGGCAGGCATAGGTCAAACAGCATGCCAGTGGGGCATCTGCTGCTTGAAGACTCCCATCTCAGGACAACTTGATCATGGAACGGAGCACTGTAGGCTCCACTGAGCTCAAGACAACTCCCACACATCTGCCTGGTTTATGTTTGTGCAACAATGTGCCCACACTGCCTACACTGGGTCCTAATGGGAAACAAAGTTGGGGTTAGCTCCTCTCTAGGCTATCAGGTGAGGAAACTATCCTTCCTGGTAACCTGTAAGGAGCTAACAAGAGTCCTTTTGGGTTCCAATTTGAACTGCTATTTTTGTCCAGCTGGCATGCTTAGGGCATTTCTTCTGTATGGGATAATTTGTAAACTGCAGTTACAGGATTAACTTGTTCTGCTTTCTGCTTGTACTAAGGTAAATATTGCTATTCGAGATTACACAGAAGTTGTTCAGCCAGTCCTGATTGGAATGTAAACTTTGTGTTAACTCAGACCAAAGCGGGGAAGAAAGTACCAGGGCATTTATGTTTTTCTTTTTTTTTTGGTACCAGGGATCAAACTCGGGTCCTTGTGCTTGCAAGGCAGGTGCCAGAACTACTGAGCTAAATCCCTGGCCCCTCCAGGGCATTTAAAATCCAATAGGCCACCAGACTTTTACAGAAGGAAACAGTAAGCAGGATAAAGAAAAGTCATAAGTTTGTCCTGAGTCAATTTAAACATAATTTAACAGACTTGTCATTGGAAAATCCATATCTTGAGATGTTCACAGGTTTAAAAAAAAAAAAAAAGACCAAGCTTCTCCTAGGGGTGAACGTGCTGTTGGGGCACCCCCTTCACACCACAGTCAGAGATTTCTACATGAGTATAGACTGTAAAGGCAGGGATGTGCAGCTGAGAAAACAGAGCGTGACTGTAGATTACAGAGGTAGCGAAGGTGGTGCCCCCCCCATCCGTGATATTGTGCCCAACACTGGTCTCCTGACTGAACAACAGATGCAGACTGTGGCCTCCTACTGTGATCTTTTGAATTTTGCTAACAATTTCATTAGCTGCTGAGTCCCGGGACCAGCTTACATTCACCTGGAATAGACTGAAATGGTGGAATTAGTCAGACTCATGGTCAGGGCATCCACTTAGGCCCTAAGGCCTGACCTGAGGTCATAAGTTATGGAGAGAGAGATGCAATGACCAAAAGGGCACTGGTGCCACCTAGTTCACAAGAAACGTCTGGTAGGAAATTTGGGCTCCTATGGGGACACCGCAGAGCTCAAGAGGTCTCTGTCCTGCTGCAGGGATGCCCTCAGGAGGATCCCAGACCTAGTCTTCTCTCTCTCTCCCCTCTCCATAGACCCTACAAAGCACCATGGGCAACATCCTGCTAACCCCTCCCACCTCACCATGAGGCTGTATCCTTAATAATTAAAAACAATTTGCAATAAAGTTTGGGCCCAATATGAACCAGGGGACGGAGAACAGTGGCCAAAAAGTGGCAGTCTAAATTATAATACTATTCTCCAGTTAGATCTCTTTTTCAAAAGTCAAGGGAAATGGTCAGAAATCCCTTATGTGCTGGCTTTTATGACCCTCTATTGAAAACTATCCCTCTGCAAAGGCCCAAGAGATACCGCCCTTTAAAAGGCTTCTGAACCACACATTGGTATTACTAATGACCCCTCTTTAGATTACCACAGTCTCTCAGGGGAACCAAGTGGGACCCTCTCAACTTCCTCATAATCCTCAAGCCAGTGCATATGCACCACCCTCTCCCAGTGACTCGGAACCCTGTCCCAGGCTAGCTCTTCAGAGAGGCTAAGACACCTTAAACCCCTCCCAGTGACCCCAAGGCCACATTAAGTCCTGCAGGACATGTGTGGAGTGGAGCTTCTTACTCTTCCAGGTCGCAACCTATCCTGCCTTGGAAGATGACTGGGGCAGGGGGGGATCATCTGAGTCCAAGTCCCTTTTCAGTCACAGACATCAACAATGCAAGGAGCACTTAGGTCGATTTTCTGAGGATCATCCTAGGTTTGCAAATGAGCTCCAAACTTTGTCCCTTGTTTTTGACCTTTCTTGGTGAGATGTGCAGTTTGTTCTAGCTGCCTGTTGCACACCAGGTGAAAAACAAAGACTCCTTGGCCGGGATTTACCTCAGTGGTTCTGCCACCTGCCTCAAAAGCTCAAGGTCCCAAGTTTGACCTCTGGTACCGCAAAAAACAAGCAAAAAACAAAGACTCCTTGAGTAAGCAAGGTGATACACAGATCATCAGTTTGTGGTAGATAGAGAGAAAATCAGGAGATGTTAGCCATACCACATACTGATCCAAATTGGGATTATTATACTACAGGAGGACTAGAGATGAGAGCTAAGACGGTAGCAGAAAACCTGTAAACTACAAAAAAGTTAACTACAAAAAAAAAAAAAATGAGAGAGATTATCCAAGAAAAGGAAGAAAATCCAGCTATCTTTCATAGCCAGCTAGAGGAAGCCTTCCAAAAGTATGTATTCTTCACCCAGCGGGGAAGGGCTCTCTTGGGACATTCTATTAGACAATCCACCCTAGATATCCACCAGAGACCACAAAAACTTCAGATGGGACCTCAAACCACTGGCTGGACATGATCTTCTCCACGTTCAACAACTGGGATCAGAAAGAGGGTGAAAGGGAAAGGAACCGAGATCGGAGACAGGCAAAAATAATGGTCACCACAAGTAGTAACACTCAAGCCCAGATTGTCCAAGGAAAAACCTGAGAAAACAGAAAGGGTTCTTGCTTTAAGTTCAAAGATACTGACTGGTTGGTTGGTCACTGGGCTTGAGAATGTTCACATCCACCGCCTGGACCCTGCCCAGAGTTTTGAGACGCTGATCTCAACCCATGGCATTGGAAGGTCCACTGTCCACAGAGAGATGCAGCCAGCCAAAACTTTAAATGCCAACCCAGTGGATGAGGACGGAAGGAGCCCAAGGCAATTCACAATCCCCCCATCAGAAAACACATCCATCACCATCAAAGTACCCTGGGGAGCCTTGGACATTAGGTAAGCAAATCTGTTTCCTTGATACAGGAGTGGCTTACTGAGTTTTAACCTTCTCTGGTCAACCCTCCAGATCGCTAGCCATAATTGGGGTAGAAGGGAGCACCAGTAAGAAGAGTTTCTTTACTTCACTTTGTCATATCAATTTGAAGGTCAAATATCCAGGTTTTGATTGTCCCATGATGTGCTATCCCCCCCATTGGGAAAAGACTTATTATTAAACTTGTAGCCATCCTTTGTTTCTGTTGAAAGCCAAAAAGGATTTTGCCTCTAAGAGCCTCACACAATGTCCCCAATATTTTTAGCCAAGTGCTGGCTTTTTATAACAATGCTTTACTTGTTTCTGTTCTTTTGTCTTCCAAGAGGCCTTTGCACAACCCCTTCACCCCCTATTCTCCCAGCCCTGGAAAATTTATCCAGCTTCATTAACAAGAGCACTTGCTGGTACTGCCATAGACAGTCTCAGCTCCACCGAAGTGAGCTACCCTTGCAGACACATCCACGAAAAGCAGAGGATTGGGCAAACCTACTAGGATCTTTAGTGGCAATTTCATACACGCTCTGCAATTAAACTATCCACAATGGAATGGGAGAAAGACTTCAGCCTAAATATCCTAACTGGCTGCCTTCTCCATCGGGCGATAGCTACAAGCCCTCAGGAACAGCCCATTTGCTACTCCTAAAGGCCGCTCTCTCCTTTCACATTTTAAAGGCACTGGTCTGTAACAGGATTTCTCAGTCTCTTTCTATGCAGTCAATCATTGCAATATGTATGGCATTATAACAATGATGAGGGGAGCCTAACGGGGACTAAAAGATAACAATGATTACTATGAATATACAAACCTCACAATACAAGACTTCTTTTAGTATTGTAACACAAATAATTATTCGGCCAACTGGATTGAGGGATTTCTGGATCTAAATACTACCTCAGGTTCAACACCATCCATCTGAGGATATCATTCTTTTTTTTGGTACCAAGTATTGAACTCGGGTCCTTGTGCTTGGGAGGCAGGCAGCAGAACCACTGAGCTAAATCCCCAGCCCTGAGGATATCATTGTTTAAGTCCTAGACTGTGGTCAGTTCCTCAGGTAGTTATATCCCTGGTGGGTTTTCTGTGTTTCTCGTAATTTGGCCTGCCAGGCAACACATAACCACTCCACAAAGGAGCCCCGTTTGTCTCGATGACTGGTTCCTGGGGACTTGACCTAACTCAGTGGGCTCCTGAGCCCTTGAGATTCTGGCATGTCCCCTTCCTCTGTGGGGAGCCGATCACCACCTCATTAGATCCAAGGAAAAACCACCTCTGTTGCCTTAAAAGGAACTGGCTCATGCTTCTTCCTCTGTAGTAACAGAAGGTAATGGCCTCACCATTTGCTCGGAAACCAGGGTGCACAGTGGTAAGTCCCTCCCCCAGTGTTGGCCCATAACAGGGCTTCTTTTCCTACATCAGGGACTATTATGGTTTGTATCTAGATGTCCCCTCAAAGACTTATGTGGTCATAGATGGGGCTTTTTGGAGGTGGCTGGATCTAGGGTGTGTGATGCTGGGATCAAGGATGCAATGCTGGGACTGAGGGGCTGGGGATGTAGCTCAGTGGTGCCGCACCTGCCTGGCAAGCACAAGGTCCTGACTTTGATCCCTGGTGCCCGCAAAAAGAAAAAAAAAAAAGCAATGCTGGGATTGCTCATGGTGCAATGCTAGGATTAAAGCTGCCCCACCCTGGGTGTGAGTGCTGCCTGCCCTAAGGGTGGGGATCCTTGAGAGGCTGTAAGGGACAAAAAGAAGTTCACTTGTTGCTTGTCACTTGTCACATGCTCCTTGATGCCTTCTGCCTGCCTGCTCTACGATGCCCTTCTGCTATGCCACCCTGCCTTGGAGCCAGTCAACTATGAACTGAAACCTCTGCAAACTCTGAGCTACAATAAAGCTTTCCTCCTTTAATTTTGGGTGTTGGATATTTTATCTCAGCAATGAGAAAAGGAACTAAGACAGGGACTGTACCCAAAGTGGGTCCTTTCTGGAGCTTGGGCAAACTAGACCTAAATAAAGCGAGGAGTAGTTCTAAGACTATCAAAGATACCACCTTTTGGTGTCCTTGCCGCAGACAACCCTGTGCTAGAAAGAACCACATTGGGATAAAAAATATTAAGAGGACTGCTGTGGCCCAAGGATTTTACAACAACTACAGTGTCAATAAGAAATCTGTCTTTGGCACTACAGTGGTCATGGAAAACTACTGTAGAGGGTGCAGAGGCTCAGCAAGAAAGCCTAAAGTCTCAAGCTGAAATGGTCCTGCAAGACAGGACAGTAGATGGCCTTGTTGCACAAACTGGCGCCATCTGCACCATGCTAAATGAAATGTGTTGCTTCTGGGTAAACAACTCAAAGTAGAAACCAACATCATAAAAATCAAAGAATTAATACAAGTATATGGAGACCTTAAAAAAGGGTCCTATGAAGAGTCATGGGTAAGGTCCTTTCTAAAAACACTCAAGAACACAGGTAATGGGGAAAAAAATAAAAACCAAGGGCCGGGGATGTAGCTCAGTGGTTCTGCCGCTTGCCTCGAAAGCACAAGGACCCGAGTTCAATCCCCGGTACCAAAAAAAAAAAAACCCCAAGATACATCATGTACAGGTACAAGCACCTAATGATAAATGTAAACGTATTGTACACCTAAAATGTACCAATAAAAGAATTTAAGGGGGAAAAAAAACACTCAAGAGTCAAACATGGTCATTAGTAGGGCTGTTTATACAGGTTCTCTTTTTTTTAATACAAGTTCTTGTATTAATTGTTTTGGTTTTCACCTGCAGATCTTGTCTATTTAACAAACTTCTATAAATCCTCCCTTCCAGACTTCAAGGAACATTTCACCACAGTCTTCTGAACTTCTGGGGATATCAACATCTTCCAACTGACCCCACAATCCTCATTTCCCCTGTAGATCAGTAGGGATGGCGTTCATACTCAGCAGGAAGCAGTTCTGGAAAATTGAGACCATCAACCTTCAACAAGCTATAATGAATTATGGGAATCATGTCTCTCACAGGGAAGTTGAAGCAGGAAGCAGAGCAAGGACAAGTAAACAACAGAAAGCTGAGAGACAAGAATCCAGAAGCCAGACAGAGCAAGACAGAAACCAGATAGAGACAACTATGCCAAAATATCAGGAAAACAAGATAATAGTGACTCTGCACCCCAGCCCCAAGATTCCAGGCATGCGTAAACCCAAAAGTACACAACCTTGGCCTGCAGTTTTGACACCCCACCCACAGTGGTCTTTTGAGGCCATGACACTTTTTCTAAAACCTCCCACGTCAAACTCCCCCCTCCTAATGAGTGGGCTGAGTCACGTACCCCATTGGCCCATAACTCCTGTCAATCCCCACCTGTAGACCCTCCCATAACCCCAGGATCCAAACAAACCCAGTAGCTGCCCCTGTTGGGACATGAGCTCTTCTCACTGGCCCAGTCCCACCCTGTGGACCTTTACTTCTTTCACTTGCTCTTGTTGCTCCTTTTAAATAAATCTTACTCTTACTACTCTTTCTGAGTTTCCTGCTCAGTTCTTTGTTTGAGACACCAAGAACCTTGAGGGGAACAACTCCCTGTAGAACCCCCATGTCTTGCTCTATCTATTCCACCTTGTGCAGGAGGGGATCAGAGAGGGTGTAAGAGTGAGGTGGCCAGGCCAGCAATATGCTCATTGCATGACCCGAAGAAGCTGAAAGTAGAGGAGACCTCACACACATGGATCCTGGAAGTCTTATAAGCCCTGCTTACAAGCCCAGGTAGGGGGAAACAGTGCAAAAGACAGAAGAGTGATCAAAATATACGGTGAATGTTTAAATTTTAAAAATTTAGTAAGACATTGCCATTAATCCCCCTCAAAATACTTCCCTTCACTTTGAACACACCCATCCCAGCCTTCCTGTCACTTTCTGACTCCTGTTGTGGAAGTCCTCTTTTGTGAAAGTCTTTACAAGTGGTGATAAAAATTATGGTGAATGAATAGCTGGGCGTGGTGTCACACACCTGGAATCCCAGCACTCTGGGAGGCTGAAGCTGGAAGACTGAACGTTTAAATCCAGCCTGGGAAAGTTGGCAATTTAGACAGATCCTGCTCAAAATTTTAAAACAAAACATAACAAAACCTTAGGGCGTAAGTCAGTGCAAAGGCTCTGGATTCAATCCAAGTAACACAAAAGAAAAAAATTATGGTGAATGCCGCTGCCATGTGCCATCCAACCAAAAGGCAGGCTCCTGAAAGCATTACAATGTGTCCTTATTCTCCTTATTCACTAGATCTGGCACCCTGTGACTTCTGCCTCTTCCCTAGAGTCAAAATGACCACAAAAACTTTAATGTTTTGAATCAACAGGACATGGAGGCAGCCACAACAGTGCAACTAAAGATCCTCATGAAAGAGATATCCAGACTGCTTCAGAAAGTGGCCAGAAGGATGGGATAAGTGTGCTCAAAGCAACAGAGAATGTTTTAAGGGAGATTAATGGGAATGTGTCTTTTACTGTAATGAATTTTTAAATTTAAAATATTCACCATTTTTTAAATCATACCTGGTAGGTAGAGAGCAAGAGATGCACTCAGAGGAGACTTATAAGGTATTGGCTCACATGGTGATGGGGACAGAGCTGTTCCCAGGTCTATAACTGGCACATTGGAGACCCAGAACAGCCTACGGTGTGGATCTGGTGCAAAAAGCCAGCAAGCCTGAGACCCAGGAAGAGCCGATGTTTGCTTCGAAGTCCAAGGCAGGGGAGTCCCGGCTCCAGAGTCAGGGTGAGGAGTCCCAGCTCAGCCTTTGTGTCCACACAGGTCCTCCATTGGTGATGAGGCCCCCGTTCTGGGGAAGGGCAGCCTTGTTACTCTTGTCCCAAAGCACCCTCTTAGACTCAACCCAGATAATGCTTGCTCCAGTCTCTGGCTGCCAGATGGACACATAAAATTAGCATCACAGCGGCTCTGTTAAAATTCCCAGCATGCCCCTTTGATACCTCTCCTCATGACATCTCCCCAGAGGTGACTCACAGGAAACACACCCCTCTCCAAGGCTCTGAGCTATTCACATCTCTGTGATCCCCCCATCATTATCATTTTTGTTGGATTCCCATTCCTTGGGTAGAGCTGCAGCAGGTCTACGAAGTGGGAGAGGGGAATGGAAGCCAGATGCCCTGGGGAACAGAACCTGCCCCGGAGGAGGAGGCCTCCTGGGTCAAACTAGAGACTTGAAGCTGCCTGCAGGACTGCAGGGCTGCCAGCAACTAGGGCCATGCTAGAAAATGAGATAACTTTTATGAGGTTTATGTGCCTGAGTGTTCAACTGAGTCTTCTGGAAATAAAATAGTGGATATTAACATTTATTTATTTATCGGCTGTACAGCTCTTTTTCTCCCCAAATATTTTTAGCAAAAGTCTCCTACATAACCTACATGGAGCTGGTTAATTCCAGCAAGGCAGAGCCTGGAGTCCACCCCCTTATGGCCAGTGCCTGTGGCCTTCCTTCCCAGGGGCTGCTGGAGGCCTCAGCAGGGCCCAGCCAACAAACCTCAGATCTCCATGTCCTTTTATGACCCTGCCCAGGTCAAAGGGCAAAGGTCACAAGGAGCCAGATTTAGCTCAACATCCAAAGGACACTTTTATAATCATAACCACCCTGTGCAATGGGAGCAGCTGCCATGGAGGGCAGGATGAGGACATGCTGGACAGAAAGATGGAATTCTCGTTAAGAAGGAGAGCAATGGTCTCTGAAATCAAGTACCCAAACCAGGGGTGGGACAAAATGATCCACTGAGATGCCAGACAAATATATTAGCATTTGTCAGAGTTTGGGTTTCCTAGAAGTGAACTCTGAAGTAAGTATTTAAGTGTAAGTAGTCTATTTAGGAGGTGAAGAAAATACCAGAGGAGGAGCAAGGAAAGGTGACAGCCAATATACAGGCATATTGTTCCCGGCTGCGGGCAACTAGAGTTTAATTGCACTGGGGAGACTCTGGAAGCCAGGGTAAACCACACTTCAAAGTTATTCCCCATGAAGACCCAGGGGTCTGGGTATTTTATATGTCAACTACCGAGAAGTGAGAGCAGCTGAGGGGTGTGACATCCCTCGCACTTCCACGGCTCCACGGGCAGGTGAAGTCAGCCCTGGTGGCCTGACAACCTTGTGTTTCTGTGCACAGGGCTTCACACACAGTCTCCTTGGTTACCTCTTGGAAAAGAACCACCAAAGGTAAAGTTGCTGCATAGGTTTTTCCTATACACAGGTGAACATTGCAAATGTGCTGATCTTCTCATGTTGATGTCAGTATAAGACAGCTGACAGATATATTTGTAAAAATTCACGAAGGTCAGCAGTCTTTTAAAAAGTTTTATTGCATGTACTTTTTAACTTTTTATTTTTATTGATTTATTTTTGGGGGGGGATCGAACTCGGGTCCTTGCGCTTGCAAGGCAGGCAGCAGAACCACTGAGCTAAATCCCAGACCCTAACTTTTTATTTTTAATTTAGATTTACAGAAAAGTTGTAATGATGACACAGAGAGTTCCCATATTGTCTGCACCCGGCTTCACTCAACTTCCCCCCATGTCTCCATGATCACAGCGAAATGATCAGTATCAACAAATTCAGGGCTGGGGATTTAGCTCAGTGGTTCCGGCACATGCCTTGCAAGCAAAAGGTCCCGAGATTGATCCCTGGTACCAAAAAAAAGACATACTTTTGGGGGATTTAGCTCAGTGGTTCTAGCACTTGCCTCACAAGCGCAAGGTCCTGAGTTCGATCCCTGGTACAAAAAAAAAATTCACACTGGTGTAACATTATTACCTAAACCACAGGCCTTATCTGAATTCCACCAGTTTTGTTTTGTTTTGCTTTGTTTTGTTTTGGAACCGGGGATCAAACTCAGGTGAATTCCACCAGTTTTAACACTATAGTTCCTTTCCTATTCCAGAATCCAACCCAGGGTCCTACTTGGCGCTTAGCTATTATTTTCTCTCAAACTACAACTGTTTGCTGAGGTACAAATAGCATATAATAAAGGGCACATTCTTAGCTGCACAGTTGGGTTAGTCGTGATACGTATACAGGTAAACCACGTTTGTCTACCCATTCACCCCCTCATGAATGCTTGGGTTGTTTCCAGACTGGGGCTATTCTGAATAAAGGTGGCTGGGAACATCCGTGAGCTGTCTTTGCACGGGCATATCTATGCTTTCTCTTAAGCAAATACCTGGGAGAGGTGAAATGGTAAGATTGATGGTTAACTTTTCACCTTGCTACACCATCTTCCAAGATGGCTGTATCACTTTACATTGCCACCAGCAGGGTATAAGGATTCCATGTCCTCATCAGAACTTGGTATGGTCAACTTTTTTCATTTTCACTATCCTGATAGTGGACCAGTGGTATCTCACTGTGATTTAATTTGCATTTCCTTAGTGACTAATGATTTTGAGCTTCTTTTCATTTGCTTATTTACCATCTGTTGTGGCTCCTGTCTGGATGTCCCCCCAAAGCCTCATGCAGTCTTTTTCAAAGGTAACTAAATCTGGAACGTGTGACACTAGGATTAAGGGTGTGTGATTATTAAACCACTACATGTGAGTGATTGGTTTGGCATCGCCCCAATCCCAGTTGTCTAGATATAATAAGATAAAAGAGGCAGAAAGACACTGTTGAGGTCTCTTGTTGCTTTTGCTATTTCTGCTGCCATGAGCTGTTGCCCCTCTGCCACCCTGCCTTGGAGCCAGCCAATTATGGACTGAAACCTCTATGAACTCCCACCCAATCTCTTACTGATAAGAAACACGGATGAAAGAAACTGATTATTGTCACCAACCCCCACAGGCCCACCTTTGGGCTATACTGGGCTGTCCACAAGGCAGACTCTGGGGGCAGAGCCACCAGTTGTTCCCAATGGCTGAACACAACCTGGAGGTCAGCAGTGTCCTCTTAGCATGAGGCCCTGCTGAGCATCCAGAGCATCCTGAGAAGAGGATAGGATATTCCTGGAGGGGCCGAGGGCTACCATATGCAATAGACTATGGTCTTCTACTTCCCTTTAGCCTTTAATGAGAGGGAGCCAGCTCTCTGGCTGTAGGGTAGGAGGGGTTATGGGAGTCAGGAAAGGCCCTCTTCTCCACATAAAGCATGGAAATTAAACTCTCTAGAAAACTTCTACCAAATAATACCACAGAAAAATAATGTCTCTAATTGCTAGATCTGTAACAATCCACCTTTTAAGACTGACCAGGAAATATTCTGACCTCCTCCTCATATTTGGGCTCTGCCTCCTCAACGTAATAGTAAAGTTTATTCATTCAAGGCTTTGGATGATGATCCAGACTACAGCCCATGACTCCTGACAAATTCAACAAGCTTTCTCCCATTGAACAGGGAGCTCAACAGTTCTTGATATACAGGTACTAACTCTTTTCTCATTGTCTACTGACAGGTTTTTTTCCAGCCCAGCTGGTGAGGCCTAACATTCCAAAGTAATTGGAGAGCACATAATCTCCAGTAGGTAAGGTCTCCAGCCTTTCAGCAGGAAGCAGCTATATGAAGATAGAGACCGCTACTCCCTCAGCATCCCATAAAAAATTATGAGGATTGTGTCTCTCAGGGGGAAATTAGATAGGATATTAAGGTGGGAAAAACTGGCTGGGAAAGTTGGCATGACCTGGCAATCAAAGACCCAAAACTTGCGTGGAACAGAGTTCCCAAACCCTGCACCTGAGATCAATCAGGAAGTACTGTCTTCAATTCTTCATTTACATCTGGCATGAAACCAAGTGGGTTTTTGCTAGGATGGCCTAGATCTGACCTCAAACTGAGGAATAGGAGATACAAAAGACCTCCACCATTAACCTTGTGGCCACTGTGAACTTTCTCGGTGACCTGCTCTCACTCTGTAGTGAGAACCCTGTGAATGTAAATCCTTGCCACCTTTCTCATGTGTCTTGTCCAATTGTTTGTCCAGGACACCAAGAAGCCTGAAAGAATCTCTACAGGACCCTAAAAGCCAGTAACAAAGCTATGCCCCCACCTTGAGCCGACCTTGGAAAAGCAGAAGAGTCAGATGCTTGTCCTCTGTCTCACAAGCATCTCATGTCCTTCAGCCCTATCCTAGGGCGCAGACCCACGTGGCTGGGGTGTCTGTGCAAGTTGAGGGTGTCAGCTATGAGAAAATGCAAGAGCCACAAGGACAAGGTGACCATGACCACCTAGTGGTCCACATCCACCACAGGAAGGAACATATTATAGAACCACACCCAGCCCAGCAAATTTTTAAAACGTGCTGCTCCTTTTGTTTTAGGGCAACCTGGTCACTCTCTTGACCAGCTGACTCCCTTCAGCCAAAGCCACAACTCAAGTGACCCCACTTCCTTGCCATAAACCTTTGCCTGAGCTGTAGAGAGTGCGCTTGGAATCCCTGGCCCCGTCTTGTTTCTGTAGCCATCTGGTATCACCATGAGCAATCCCCAGCCACCCACAGACAGACCCTACCCACACTCACGGCATTGTGAGTGCTTTCCTCTTCAGGTGAACAAGCAAGCAAAGAAGAAAAGGAATTTAGAAGAACTGGAGACAATGCAGGGAGCCAAGGAACAGAAGGAAAATTGTAATTAATACCCTGGATAAAATAACACATTGCATACATGACACAGAACGGGGTGCTATTAAAAGAATAAAAGAGCGCAAGGTCCCGAGTTCAATCCTCAGTACCAAAAAAAAAAAAAAAAAGAAAGAGAGAAACTGAAAAGAACAAAAAGAGCAATCCATAACACAAATGAGCTCTTGGAAATTAAAAAATAGGATAGACAAAAATGTAACAGGCACTAGTAAGGATGGACAACAAGGACAAGGACAGAAGAGGCACAGATGGAGAATAAGAAAATGAATGAATGAATGAATGAATGAATGAAAACTAGAACACCTAACCAGGACATCTACAATAAAGAGAAGACAGAAGAGAGAAAATCATCAAAAGCAAAAACTCGAAATAAAATTTCCATCATATAAGATGCTGAGTAGCCAGATGGAAGGAGCCACTGAGTCCACAGCACAAGAGATGGTGAGACAAGGTCCCACCACCATGAGATTTCAGAGCACAGGGGACAGAGAAAAGGCCCTTCAGAAAGGAAGCGCAGTGCTGGGGATGTAGCTCAGTGGCGCCGCACCTGCCTCGCAAGCACAAGGTCCTCAGTTCGAACTCCAGTACCAGAAAAAAAAAGAAGGAAAGTACAGGTGACATACAAAGGACAGAAAGCCAAAATGTCACCAGACTTTTCCACAACCACCCTGGAGGCTGCAAAGCATGGAGCAAAGTCTTCAAAATTCCAAGGGAAGCTGGGTGCATTGGTGCATATTATTAATCCCAGCACTCTGTGAGGCTGAGGCAGGAGGATAGCAAGTTCTAGCTCAGCCTGGGCAATTTAGCAACTTAGATCCTGCCTCAAATTTTTAAAACATTTTAAAAGGCTGGAGACCTAGCTCAGTGCAAAGGCCCTGGGTTTAATCTCCACCACTGAAAAAAAAAATCCTACAGGAAAATTATTCCCACCCTAGAATTTTATTTCCAGCCAAACTATGGACCAGCTCTGCAGGTGAGAAAAATTAAAAACATTTTCAGGTATGCAGTCAATCAAAAATCTTTCCTCCCACTGCCCTTTCTCAGGAATTTACCAAAACAAGGGAATAAATCAAGGAGGAGGAAGGCACAGGATTACCTTAATAAAACATTTTTTTAAATTGCATTCAAAAACTTGTTTTCCCCGAGCAATCTGCTCCTCAGAATCTAGCTTTGATACTCTCACTGTAATTCCCCAAAAAACAAAATGCTCAATTCTAAAGTGCATGTTTATTCACATTTCAAAAGTTCCGAAGTTGAGGTTATATTGCGACAGCCTCTCACACCAATAAAATATGGCAGCAGCTAATATTTGCATGCTTTTTATACAGCAGGTCGTGGTGTTCCAGGTACTTTTGGAATAGGAACTTAGAGAGTAGGCCTGCAGGTGCCTAATGAGTATCGAGGCTGAACCTCTGATCAGGAACTACTCCTGAGATGCCTATCAATCAGAGACAACCTGCCCAGGTGTGTTTATCACTTAAGGAATACCACAAGGCTTATTGGACCTAAGTTTACATAGGCTACCCCATCCCCCTTCAAGATCGAGAAGACTGAGATATGAGAAACTAGCTGGGAATGGTGTGCATCCCTGTAAATCTCAGCACTGAGGAGGCCGAGGCAAGAGGATCACTGTGAGTTCAAGGCCAGCCTGGGTTACATAGTTCAAGGCCAGTAGGAAGTACATAACAAGACCCTGTCAAAAAAAAAAGAGAGAGAGAAAAGAAAAGAAAAAGAAAAATGATCAGAGTAGCTAAAATGACTTTCAGACATTCAGTTGCCAGCTTTTACTCCTTCCTGTTCAGACCCCTTGGATCGATCCGTAGATGTCTCCAGTCATCGTCCTCAATTTGTGGCCATCTTAGGTTCCACTGACCACCCCATGATGAGGTCACCCCTAGTGGGAACTGAGGGAGCCCCCAGAGCGGGAGCCGCCATCTCTCCATGGGAACTGAACTGTCCCCCCACGAGAGGTGGCTCTCCTGGGACCCCCAGAACCAGCCCTGAGACAAGAATCAACCAGCCCTCCACCTGACCCGGATTCCCTACCCTGCCAGCTATGCAAATCCCGAACCCTTGCCCTTGTTCCCCTTTTTCTATACAACCCCAAAGCTCCTGTCCGCCCCGCCAAGGACAGACCCTGAGCCTCTTTCTCTGTCCTTACGACACGCCCACACTGATCGCAGCTCCTCCCTTGCCCTGCACCATGCTCGACTCCTTCATTTTGGGATAAGGGGTCGAACCTAGTCTGTTGGGAACCCCAGGGCCAGAGATCCAGGACTTTTGCCCTAAAACTCCTGTAACACCTCTGCTTTTTTTAGGCTCAAAACAACCTCCTGACGTGAGTTACGAGCACCAGGAAACAGACTGCATGTAGCAAAGCCATCCAGGGCCGAGCCCAGCCCGTGTGGGTTGTGGGTGGAGGATTGAGAGTCAAATGAGGACTTTTCCTTACCAGAAGCTTTAGATAGATCATCTCATTTGCATCCCCTCAGCCATCTGCGCATTTGACAGCAGAAGGGAATGAGGATCAGAGAAGTTAAGGAATATGCTCCACCGCCTCGGCCATTTGGCTGGCACTAGGGGCAGTAGCCGTGTCCCATGGGAACCAAGCATGGGGACCCCCATCCCAGCCCTGGGCCAGGTCTCCCTTCCCTGCTCTTCTCCTGACACTCTGGCCACACTCACTGTAGGATCTTGTCCCAGGCCGGGTCTGCAGGATAGCGCTTGGATCCACCCAGGTACAGGAACCGGTACCGCTGACGTGTGTCCTTGGTCTCCACCAGCGTGGTGTTGAGGTAGCGGCCCACCCCTACTGGGTTCTGCAGAGGGGATGGGGGACAGCTGGGCCTCAGCAAGCCTGGCTCAGAGACCGAATCTTAGGCCCCTTTCCCTCCCCTCCCCAGGCTCCTGCCTCCCCCAGCTTTGAGAAGTTGAACTGTGTCTCCCTAAAAGATATGCTGGAGTTCTGACCCCAGAGCCTCAGAATGTCAGTTACATGGGGAAAGAGTTGCTGCACATGTAGTTAGTAAGATGAAGTCATACTGATATAGAGCGGGAGCCAGGGCCTCCCGAAGACTAAGCCAGCACTCTACCAGTGAGCTACATCAAAAGTTGTGACTTCTAAGAGACCCATGCCAGGCACAGTGGTGCACGCCTGTAATCCCAGCACTCAGGAAGCTGAGGCAGAAAGATCACCACAAATTCAAGGCCAGACATAGTAATTTCAAGCCAGGTTGAACTATATAGCAAGACCTTGTCTCAAAGAAAGAGGAGGAGGAGGAGGAGGAAGAAGAGGAGAAGAGCACCCAGGGAAGTCAGCTACACGCAGAGGCAGAGATTGGCATGATGCATTCACACAGCAAGGATGAAAAGGGAGCTGGCCCTGCCGACACCTGGATTTCAGCCTTCCAGCTTCCGGAGCCACGGGAGGACTCCTTTCTGTGGTTTTAAGCCACCTAATTCGTGGCCCTTTGTTGATTTATATTCTTTTTCTTTTTGCCAGTACTGGAGATCGAACTCAGGACCTTGTGCTCACCAGGCAGACACAGCCCCACTGAGCTACATCCCGGGCCTCGTGGTCCTTTGTATGGCAGTCTAGGAAACACACACGCTATTCCTCCAGTCACCTGCCACCAGAGGTTCTCAGAGGAGCCTTGCCAAGGTGACACAGGGAGGGAAGAGTCACAGCAGGACAGGGGCCGGCCATCTAGGACACACAGTGTGGGGGTGAGGGCCTCAAGTCTGGCTGACCACTCCTGGGCGAGGCCTGTCAGGGGGCGCCCCTTCATGGGGATGTCCTGCCACTGAAACCTGGCCCTTCGGCCCTTCCTACCTCAGAGGGCCAGCCCCGCGGTGGCAGCATGGACGCTGGTTCTAAACTTCATTTTCTTTTTTCCTTCAGTACTGAAAATTGAACCCAGCTGTGCTCTACCACTGAGCTATACCCCCAGCCCTTTTTATTTTGAAATATTCAAAGTATTATTTTGAATTCAAATATTTATTTTGAAATATTTTTTGTTTTCACTAAGTTGCCCAGGCTGGCCTCAGACTTGTGATTCTTTTGCCTTGGTCTCCCGAGGAGCTGAGATTACGGGTGTGTGCCACCACACTTGGTTAAGTTAAACATTTTACTTGCTGTCTCTGGGGTGCAGGTGTGGGACAGAGGGCAGAGATGAGGTAAATTACAAGAGAGATGTACCCAGGGAAACCAGGAGAGACCTTAAAAGTAGAAACCTGTTCAAATCAGGCCAAACTCCTATGTGCTACTGCAGTCAGGGCAATGCTACCTGTCAGAGGACACATCCAGGACTCCTGGGGGCTGGGAATGTGCTTGCAAATGCTCTTGAGGAGAAGGCCATTCCAAGACCATGTATGGAGCTGTTCACTTAAGATTCCTGCACCTTTCTGTGTGATTATTAGACTCCAATAAAAATGCACTTAAAAACTGAAGAGAGCTGGGCATAGTGCTGCACTCCTATAATCAGAATTGCGAGTTTGAACCCAGCCTGCGATGCTTAGTGAGACCCTGTCTCAAAATGAAATTATAAAAAGGGCTGAGGATATCACCCAATCCAGCATATTCGAGGCCCTGGGTTCAAACCCCAGTACTGCAAGATCTAAATTTTAGAAGAAGAAAACAGACTGAAGGGGGAGGAATAAGGAAGAGGATGAGGTCCGAACACAAGGCCAGCTGTGTACGTGGAGGAGGTGGGCCCACAAAACCCAAGAGCTGAGCTGTTCTACAAGAGCGCCAACACCGGCAAAGTCACATCTCACAGGCAGGGGACAGGGAAGAGAGCAGGAAAGGAAGAGGGCAGCAGAGAGGCTTGCTCAACCAGGGATGAGAAATGGCCAACCCCTCAGCTGCCCCAGAGGACCTGAAAAGGCAAAGAGAAGGAGTGCAGGGGATTTCTCTGGGACAATAAGAGAACAGGGTGGCTGTGGGCAGTGTCAGCCTGTGGTCTTTGGAAGAGCACAGTCACCATCATCACCAGCTGAGCATGGTGGCCCATCCATGCCTCTAATCACAGCACGTGGGAGGCTGAGACAGATGGATGATGAGTTTGAGGATAGCCTAGGGCACATAGCAAGTCTGAGCTGGGGCTGCTAGTGAGAGCTTGTCTCCAAAAAAAAAGTAAATTCCCAGGCCTCATGTAGGCCTCCTATGTCAGAATTCCTGGCACAGCCCAGCGATCTGTGTGTTAATAAGCCCTCCAGGGCCGGGGATTTAGCTCAGTGGTTCTGCTGCCTGCCTTGCAAGTGCAAGGACCCGAGTTCGATCCCTGGTACCAAAAAAAAAAAAAAAAAAGCCTCCAGTGACACTGATATCTGCTCAAGTTGGAAAACCAATGCCCTGAGAACTGAGCCACCAAGAACAGGCATTGAGGAAGAAAGAGAGGTGCATCTAGCTCCCTCCAAGCTTTGGTGCCCAGGGGCAGGGAGGATGGAGGCCCCTGGTAGAGGCAGAAGAGTTCCCTGCCTGTCCCCATGCATCCCACACCCTGACCCACTCACCCAGCTCCCTGGAAGCATCTGGGAAGCCCTTGCACCTGACTGCTTGGAGGCCAGGAGGAACGGTGGCTGGCTCACATGTTTGCATTCTGTCTCCAGAGGAAGCCAGGAACCCAGACCGGAAGTGGCCTAAGGGAAAGGAAGGAAGGTGGAGAGGCCCTGGCACCAGCACCCAACATAGCAGGGCTGGGTCTCAAAGTGAGTGCCCCCATGACCCATGCCACCCACTCTAACCCCTGGCCGTGAGGCACCTCTTTTCAGGTCCCCAGAGGCCCTCATGGTTGGATAGGTGCAGAGAGAGGCTCCACACAGCAGCCTGGAAGTGATATCCCTTCCCAGTTTCCCTTCTGGGCCCCAGTTTCCGCTGGTGAACTGTAAATGAGAATCCCTCCTTGGGGGGGCAGGGTTGGAAAGTTGCCAGCAGGCCTCAGGAACACTGGTACCCTGTTCCCTCCTCCGCTGCCCCGGAGGGCCTGCTCAAAGCCTGGAGGCTCCCTCCCTCCGGAAGAGGGCACTGCCAGGCAGAGCCCACCACACCCTGGCCCAAGCAGATGGCAGCCCTCAGAAGGCGGATCCCCTTTTCCTCCGCCCTGGCCCAGTCCCCCCTTGCCCTCTTCCCAGTTCCTGGCGGCACTTTCAGGACGTCCTGGGATCCAGGCACCTCGCCATAGGAACCCCATCTAATTCCCACTCTAATTCTTGCTGCGCTGAGGACTGGTGTCCAAACTGGGGCTCTCCTGCAGCATGACCGGTAAGTGGAACACCAGGATTGGAAGCCAGGGGGTCGGATTAGCACCCTTGACACACACAACCCAGCCTGAAGGACAGCTGCCTTCCCAGAGCAAGTAGGCCACCAGGGCATACTGACTAGTTTCCAAGGGCACTGGCTAAGAGTGGACCAGTAAATCCTCTCTGGGGGGGTGTCCGGATTTTGAGGAACTTTTGAAAAAACCCCATGCTTTTTCTGGTGACATGAGTTAAGTTCTTCCACAAAACTCTTGAAATTCATCAGTTCCCTGGGCTTTTTTTTTCTGAGAAACAGAGAAAGAGATGTTAAGCCAGGGAAATCAAGAGAGCCCTTTCTCAACACTCCCCAGCAATCCGGGTGGCAAGGACAAGGAGGTCTCACTCATTGCCCCAGCAATGTCCCCTGCCGGGGACCACGTCAGCCGGGTGGAAACGGATGCCCCACCCACCAGCAGGTGGGGTGGGATCAGTCCCGTACCCCCTACCTGCAGCCCCACCCTGTGACCCAGCGCCTTTATCCAGTCCTTCTATCTTTCCCTCACTTTTTGGACATTATTGTGTCAGGCACTGTTCTGAATTCAAATAATGAAAAGCCAGGGTGCTTGGCAGAGCATAGAGGATTCTTAGGGAGTGAAGCTATTCTGCATGATACCACCGTGGAGGACACAGTCACACATCTGTCAACTCCCACAGAATGCACACCACCAAGATTTGACCCCCTTATAAACTACAGACATGGGGTGATAATGCTATGTCACCATGAGGCCCTCGACTGGAACAAATGCACCCCTCTGGTGGGGGATGTGGACAGTGGGGGAGGCAGAGGGCAACAGAAACTCTCTATACTTGCCTCTCAATTTTCCTGTGAACCTAGAATCACTCTAAATATAATTTATGACAACAAACAAAACGACTGGTTGATCAGAGTGGGTGCTGGCTGTGCGGATCCCCAAGGCTCCTGCTGTGCTGAGCAGGATGGGGACTTTTGTGGCTGGTCATCGGGAGGTCTGGGAGGTCCCGGGAGATCAGCCAGGTCACAGGCACAGGTTCATATAAAGCTGGGAGGGGAAACTGTGGTTGACATTTAGCTCACTGGCCTCCTTTCCGGCCTCCATCCATGTGATTTTTCAGCTTGCTGCACTTTGCTTTCTTCTTGCTCATAGTTAGAACTAAGAATTTGTCTACCTGTGTACTCCACAGCACATTTAGCTGTAAACTCATGTGCTAATGAGGAGCACGTCCTTCGATCCAGTCACTCCCCCAGAGCTCCACATCCGAGGGCATGAGGGTTTGGGGGGACAGTCCCCCCCGGCTCCCCCGTTCTCCGCCTCACCTAATGGAACACTACCACTAAGCCAGCCACCCTTCACAGGCTGGGCCTGTGAAGCCTGGGAAGTGCTTCCCAGACGGCATGACATCCACACTTGTGTCCTCAAGCTCCCTGATGGCCCCACAGCCAGTGTCCCCCAGCCCTGGCATCGTGGTCCACCCGCACCCCTAGTGCAGTTCATGCTGGCCCAGAGAGCTGGCTGAAGAATCGGATACAGGCACTTGGGCTCTGCCTCGGATGGGCAGTGCCGCCCTCAGTTTCCTCATCTGATGCAGGAGCCATATCCGCCCTGGCTGGGGGGTGGCACCAGCTGGCACACAGAGTGGAGTTGCTGGGGTTGATCAGTGTCACCTGCCATCCTGCTGGAGTCACCCCCGAAGCCACCCAGGTGTACACCTGCTCAGAGTAATGTCCATAAGCCAGGGGCTTGGTTCGGTCACCAGAGAAACCGTCATAGGGCCCTCGGGTGCCCATGGAGCGTGCCAGGTACTCCTCCAGGCCACTTTTGATAGAGTAGGTGTTGGGTCCCAGGCCGCTCCCCTAGAGCACAGCAGAGGGGGCAGTGCTGAGGCAGGTGCATCGCCCTCCTGGGGCCTGTCAGTTTCCCCTCCTCCCCGAAAGTCTCCCTCGAGGACAGTGTGGGAAGACCTGGCCAGGCAGGGGTACCTCCTGGGGCCGGGGGGCTGGCTTGCTGGACATCCTGCACATCAGGCCCTCAGAATGAGACCACTTCCAGGCATTCTCCTCCAGCCGGGTGTAGGGGTTGCCCTTCTCCCCGTAATGCCCAGGGCCTGGGTAGTAGTTCTTAGGCAGGAGACAGAGACATAAAGGCCGTCAGTCCAAGTCTTTGTGCTGGATCATCCGAGGAAGCCCCGAGAGGGGGCAGGATTTTGGGGCTATCCACGTGTTACCTGCCCCCCAGCACACATTGTCACCTGGGAGCCTCCGCTGCCCCTCACACCTTCGTCCTCCCACTCAGCTTCGTCACCAGGCCCATGCTTGCTTCCTACGGCCAGCCTAAGAGCCTGCCTGCTCCCAGGGCACGTGCCATTCCACCGACCTGCCACCTGGCTGCCCGTGCTGTCACCTGGAGTGTCCCCACCCTCTCTGCTGCAGAAAACCCCCAAAACCCTGCAGAGCCAGCTAACACCTCTGTCCTGGGAGGGAAGCCTCTCCTCCGTGGCACAGCAGGAGGAGCCCGCTCCACAGCCTCACAGCCCCATCCTTTACCCTGCACCCCAGGCACAGCTGTGTGGACCCTGTGTGGACAGCCCTAGGGCACAGGGGCACCCGGAGCCCTGGCTCTGGGGCTTCCTGGCTGGGCGAGCGTGGGCCCCGACACATCACCCTGGAGGAAAGGAGTGAGTGGCGTGACTGGCGCCCCTGAAGATCAGGAGGAGAGGGGAAGAAGAGCTGGGCCTCGGGTGCCAGGCAGCAGGATGGTCTGTGGCCGGAGGGAGGAGTCACTCCGCAGAGCTGCAGGTGCACCAATCGGCCACGTGGGGTCACTGCCGCTTCACAGATGGCTCAGCTCTGCCCCCCTCCGTCTGGAACTGGACGGGGAAGCCCAGCTGGGAAGAGGAAGCCAGGCCGCAGGGCCATCAGGTTTGCTTGCCCCCGGGGGATGGGACTAAGTCTTGCCTCCTGCAGGGCTCCGTGTGCCCTGGTGGCTTTTAGAGAAACCCCAAGGTAGGGAGCTGGGGCTCTCAGTCATGTACTGGGTCTATCTTGGTCCTGGCAGCAACCAGATGAGACCAACTCAAAACTACCCAATTTTTTTTTTTTTTTTTTTTTTTTTTTGAGGCAGGGTCTTGTTATGTAGTTCAGGCTGGCCTTGAACTCATTAGGTAGCCCTCGCTGGCCTCAAACATGCAGCCATCCCGCCTCAGCCTCCCAAGAGCTGGGATTACATAACTCATAACTCATAATTAACACGAGTTTCAGAGAGGCAAACCACATGTCCACACTCCCACCTCCAGAAAGGAGCAACAGGACCGGGGATTTAGCTCAGTGGCACCTCGCCTGCCCAGCAAGTACAAGGTCCTGAGTTCGATTCCCCGTACCAAAACAAAACAACACAGAAAGGAGCAACAGAGGTTTCCAGCTCCAAAAGCCACGTTCCTTCTGAGCCTGTGGAGTTTGCCAGGCATCAGACTGGGTAGGTAGAGAGCACCCCAGGTCCTGGAGTGGTCCCTGTCCTGGGCATTCATGGACAGCACCAAACCCATCAGTGCTGGGCTCACTGTTGACACAATCTCATTTCTGCCTTAAGACTTTCAAGTTCAAACCAGGCGTGGTAGTGCACGCTTATAATTGCAGCACTCAAGAGGCCAAAGGAGGAGCATCTCCACAAATTCAAGGCCAGCCTGACTTACATAGCAAGACCTTGTCTCAAAAAAAGACTTCCAAGTTCAGAGGTTTAGCATCAAACTTGGGCTCACCAGAAAGCCTACAATTTTAACTAGAATATGGCCATGCCAAGAGCTCCTGGGAGCCAGACAGTAATGATTGATTCAGGGGAGAGAATGAAGGAATGGTCAGTCACTTGCAAGTTGCTTTGTTTTTTTTAAGCTAGACCTTGAAGACTGAAACAAATCCCCAAAGATGGCTATGCGGGGAGGAGGGAAGGTCCCCCAGGCAGAAGCAGCAAAGATGGATGTCCCGATGCTGGGGCTGGGGACACAGGAGGGAGACAGTGTTCAACTTGTCCCCCTAACTTATCTGCCATCAGCTGGGCTGAGCCCTGGCCTTAGACTGTGTCCTCTACAAAAGGTACAACACCCAAGAACTAAGTGTGCTGGGCCTCTCAGGAATGTGCAGTGGCTGGAGAGTGGACATCTTGCTTTCCACTCCTGGTGCTGCCACCCAGTAGCTCTGTGATCTCGACCTTGAGCTTACTCAGCCCCTGACCTCCAGCTATGCCATCTGTAAAGTGGACACAATAGCAGCGCCTGCTTTGTAGAGCTGTCGTGAGGATGAACCAGTACGTGTCACGAGCCATGCTGAGTGCCAGCTATTAATACGTTAGCTGGGAAGGTTAGGAGGTTCTAAACGTCCCTCTTCCCAAGTGCAGTTTCCGCTTCTGCACCTGCAGGTGCATCTTTGGGCTCTCTGCTGGTCAGAGAGATGATATGATCCATCCCTGCTGGAACACACAGCAGCCAAGGACCTTGAGCCTGAGGCATAGGCAAGGAGAGTGGGGCCCAGAGGAGCGTGTGGCCAGGCCTGGGAGCAGACAGGACGCACACACAGGTGCCTGCTGCGCCACCTACTCCAATGAGTCCTGAGAAGCGGGTCTCCCCGGAGCTGAGCAGCCCCCTCGTGCTCCTTGGCTTCTGCTGCAGCTCTTCCAGGAAGTCTTTGAGGTTGTAGGAGCCAGGCCCCAGCTTCTGCGCCTGTCCCAGGAGAAGGAGCGAAAGATGCAAACCGTACACCTGAGAATCTCCACACAGGAAGGAGCCAGGGATGATGGTGCTCTTTCAGGGATGACAAGTCCACCTGATCTGGGAAGACTCGGAGGGCCACACGTGGCCAAGGGCCTCACCTCTAGCCACCTCTCTTTTATGAGGACCTTGTACCGGAAGTGGGGCAGCTGGGTGAGCCGGGTGGCTTCCTGTGCCCGGGCCCAGCCTGTGCCCACCTCCTTCTTCAGCTTCTGCTTGCTGAAGCAGGTCTCCTTGCAGCTGTAGGTCCCAGGGCCTATGTGGGACTGAGTCGGAGCACAGTCAGAGCTGGGCCAGCCACCTCCAACCAGGCAACCTCCAGGTACCCTCATCCTGGAGTGGGGCCCGGCAATCCCCCAGCACCAGGATGCAATCAGGACACCCCCCTCACTGGCCCCACCACACCTCACGGGGGGACAGTAGCTCATTCAGAGCCAAGAGCCGTGCAGCCCCGAGGGAGAAGGCAGGAAGGCTGGCAACCCACCACCGCCACAGAATGGCTCCTGGAGTCAGGGCCCTCCGTGAAGGTGCTGGATTTCTTCTGGTTGGGATAAACAGTGGACGTCAAACCTAGGAGGACAGAGGCCCATTGGGAGCCCAACACCTGACTCCTGGCCAGGGCTTGGGCAGCCCTGGGATAGGGGTGTGAGTGGCCCAAGGGACATGACTTCGGCCCACCAAGGATAAACAGCAGGGCGGCCATGGCTTTGACCCAACTTGGCTCCGCCACACCCACTAGTACCTCCTCCAGCTTGGCTTTTCTCCAAACTCCTTAACCAATGTATACTATTAGGCATACACAAACACCATAAATAATAACTATATATATTCAGTTATTATGCACCACCCCACTCCCATAAGAATGTAAATTCCCCAAGTAGAGTACAGAGTTTCGCTGTTTTGTTCATTGCTCTCTGCACTCAGGGAATTTACATTTGTATGGGAGGGGATCCATGTATATAGGGATTTGCGGTTACAGCAACATCTAAACCTAGCACATAGTAGGTGACCTGGAAATGGCTTTCCAGAACTTACTAAAGAAAGTGGAAAGTGGGCATGGCAGCACATGCCTGAAATCCCAGCACTCTGAGAGGCTGAGGCAGGAGGGTTGAGACCAGCCTGGGCAATTCAGCAAGACTTTATCTCAAATTTTAATAAATACATAAAGGGCTCAGTGTGAAGGGTTCCATCCTCAGCATCATTAAAAAAGAAGAAAGAATTCAGGAGGCAAAGGACCCAGGCCGGGAAAGAGCAGCCAGTGTGGATCCTGAGAGGGCCTGGGGGACGGCGCCGGGGGGAGGGGAGGGCACGAACCCGGGTGCAGAGGTCCCCCGCCTGTGGCTCTGCACCCCAAAGGCGCCCCCTCGGAACCACCTGGTAGCCGCCGACATGATGCTTGCACCCTCCGAGCTTCGAGGTCCTGAGACAGCCAGCGTGGTGCTCCTGTCGCCCGGCCACCTGGCCGGTCCCCACCCCGCTGCCCACGGCCCCTGCTCCCCCCCCGCTTTCGCTGCCTCGGCAACCCGCGCCTTGTGACCCGCGGCCCGGCGCCCTCCCCTTCTCATTGTTCTGTTTTCCACCCCTCCCTCTGGCTCGGGATCCTCCGCGACCCCTGCAGAGGTCGGGGCGCCTCCTGGTGTTAACGCAGAGACTCTGGCCCGGCTCTCTAGTCGTTTTGCTGGGGATCAGTTTCTGATTGCAGCCTGGGCCTCGGGGATCCTAGGCTCACCTCAGGCTGGCGGGAAACTGAGGCCCAGCAGCGGGCAGACGGGGAGGAGGCCATGGGGCTGCTGCTGCACGAGGGGAGGGAGAAAGGGCGACCAGGCAAGGAAAGCCGGGAGAGCTGGAGAGTTGGGCGGAGGGCTGCAGGGTTCGGACATGGTGCCTGGGACCCACAGGGGCCCCTGCCCTGCGAGTCTCTCGGGAAACAATGGCCACTCAGCTGGTCAGGCCCAAGAGAAGGGGTGCGCAGGTCCCGGAAGGCTTCCTGGAAAATTCTAAACTGAACCCCCAATGGCTCGGTGGGCTGTCCCTTCTCCTACTGTGCCTGCTCTGATCACTTTTGCTGTGTGGCCTTAGCAAAGGGGAGGCAGAGGTCCACGCCCTGTTCCCTGGTCACAGGAATGATCAGAGTGCAGGATGCTCCGTGTCCAGCCCAGGTAAACCGGGCCTCCCCACCCCATACCCTCTGATATCGCCCTACCAGGCTGAGTGCTGGGCACATGGCCTGGGCTGGCAGACACCCACCCTGCACCACGGAGCCATGGGCAGAGCGATGGCTGCAGGAACACACCCAGAAGGCACCTGGGTCATCACATACTACACACCTCTTCCCTGGACCTGGTTCGTGCCACTTCCCCTGACTCTGCCTGCTCACCTGTCAGAGGCCACTAATAATGGACTCCACAGACTGCCCTGCAGGTGAAAGGGCCAGATTCAGTTAGGGCTCCTGGCTTACAGCGGTGCTCAGGAAGTCATCCCCATCCCCTGGGGCAGGACGGTCCTCCTCACTCCTCATTCCTGCCACACAGTCAATGTCTGTGCATGCTTGCTGAGTGACAAGCAAAGAGAGAATGTGAGCCCCCTTTCCAGGAACCCACAAACCCTCCCAGAGACGCGGGTTTGAATCCTGCCCTGCTGCTTCTTTGCTAGTGGCCTCAGTGGATGGGGCCTGTGACTAGCATTTCCTGGAGGAGCTGTCTCAGGTGTCAGGGGCATGTGGGTGGGCACAACACCAAGTCCTGGGTGCTCAGAGGCCCTTCAACTGGCCCGGTTGGCCCCAGTGTCGCTGCGGCCCACAGCAGCCCAAGGTTGCTCACTGCTTCTCTTCCACAACCGGCCCCCGGGCTCCCAGACTAGTGCAAGAGCAGGCAGGGGACCCAAGCCAGGGTCCACTGGGCCAGGAGTGCTGGTGCTGAACAGGCTGAGACAGGCCAGGGTGAGTCAGCGCCTCAGCGAGGCAGCCACCCCGGGAGCCCAGGCTTCCCCACCATGGCAACTTCCTTATCCAGCACTAACTGGCTGTCTCACAGGCACTGCTGCAGTCTCTCCGCCCTCCTGCACAGGAAAGGAAACTGGGGCTCAGGCTGGAGGGATACATGGCTCTGGCCACCTGAGGGGCACACAAGGGATATGGGGCTCCATGGCGTCTGAGAGCTCCTGGCTTGGAGAGTTTAACCCACCCAGAAGGGGGAGCCGCATGTGATGGAGTCCGTCCAGCTTCTCTGCTGGGACTGAGGCTTGGGGCTGGGGGGCACTGCCTCTGGGCCTCTCTCCTCCACCTCCCCGCTACATGAGGTTCTGGACACACGGGCTGCTCTGTCCTGAGGGCGCACAGTTGGTCAGGGACTCTCCGACCTTTGCAAACCTTTCTTGCTGCTGAAACACCCACACCTCCCTTCCCTCCCTCCAGGTCCTCCTCATCTTCTCAGAGCACAGCAAAAGCCAAGCCCACCCATGCTGTCAGGTATTATTAAAAACAGAAAATGACACATGTTGGCAAGGATGTAGAGAAAACGGAAGCCTTGTGCATTGCTGGTGAGAAAGAAAAATTGTGGAGCTGCTGGGGAAAACACTATGACAGCTTCTCAAAGAATTAAACACAGAATTATCATATGATGTAGAAGCCTCACGTCTAGGAAGCCAATCCATACACTGCATCTGTAATACATACAGAACAGAATTTGCGGTACATAGCAGCACTGTTTACAAGAGCCACAAGGTAGAAGCAACATGTACACCAATAGATGAGTGGATGAACTGTGATATACACAGTGGAATATTACTCCGCCTTTAAAAAGGAAATTCTGACACATGCTACATGAATAAACCTGAAGACATTAGGCTAGTCAGACATGAACAGATACTGTATAGTTCCACTTACATGAAGTACTAGAGTAGTCAACTGCATAGAGACAGAAAGTAGAATGGTGGTTAGCAGGTGCTGGGGGAGGAAGAAGTGCAGAGTTATTGCTTAATGGATACGGAGTTCCAATTTGGGAAGATTAAAAAGTTCCAGGGATGGAAGATGGGGCTGTTGCACAACATGTGAGTGTACTTAATGGTTAAAATGGTAACTTTTATGCAAAGTATATGTTGCAACAATTTCTTAAATAAAGCCAAACTCACCAGGCTTGATGGTATGCGCCTGTAATCCCAGCACTCAAAAGACTGAGGAGCGCCAGGAGTTCAAGGCCAGGCCGAACTACGTAGCAAAACCCTATCTCCAAAAATATAAATAAATAAATAAAAAGGGCAAACTCTGGGACTCCATCACCAATACTTCCAACCAGGCTCAGAACAAGTTTAATTCCATGCTGGCCAGCAATGGAATTTTTTTTTCAGTTAAGAACAACTACATAGATTAAACTTATGTCTACAAATGAACAGGTTAAAGTGGCACCAAAATGTCCTTTTGGTTTCTCCTTTTATTGGATTGCTGAAGTGAAATATTTTCCCCCAGTTCACGACCTGTCTGCAAATGCGGGTCTCTTTTGAAGAAGGTGAGACAGCAGGTGGAAGAGCCCAGCCCCCCAGAAGGAGGAGGGCCCCAAAACCCGAGCTGCGGCAGAACCAGGCTATGAAGGGTCCACCCAGTGGCAGGGGGCAGGCCCCGCCTGCAGGCTTGAGGTCAGGGCTCTGGTCCTCGCCAGAAGACGGGTCAGAAGAAGAAAACTGGACCACAGGCGGCACGCGGAGCAGGACAGGCACCAGGATGAGAGTGGAGCCACACTTAGCTAGAGTGGCCACTTCCGGGTTTCCGGTGGTTGCTCCCTGCCCCAGGGGATGGGCCGTCATCCTTAAGTCGCTGACAAGGAAAGTGGGAAGGAGGACAGAGGCGAGGACAGCAGCAGGAGACGGTGATCCCTCCACTACAAGGGCCTGTCCAGACAGGGCAGCAAACTGGGACTTCAGGCTTTTGTGGGCGCGCCCCACTCCTGTGACCTGGGTCAGTCCTTTTCCTCCTCCGGGACTCAGCAGAGAAGCAAATTCTGACTTTTGCTTCGCACCGGGGTTTGGGCGCTCGCAGTCAACAATGCACCTGTTTTTCTGCCACTCCTGGTTGTGCAATGCCAAGTCTAAAAGCTGCTGAACAGCGAAAGCGGAAACACCTCCGGGCGCTCCCGACCGACGCTAGACCCACCCACCGGTGGAGGCTCCCGGACGTGAGGCAGCCGCGCCCTGGGCCTCAGCGCAGCGCAGCTCAGGGGGCGCCACATCCAGCGCGCTCCGCCGCCTCGGGGCCGGACGAGGCCAGGCAGCCATGGCGGGGCCCGAGGCCGCGACCGACGACCTGGACGCCCTCATCGACGACATGGACTACCTGCCAGGCCACTTCCACCTGGAAATGCAGCTGAACTTCGAGCCGCGCTCGCCGGCCCCGCTGCGCGCCCGGGACCTGCGGCTGCAGCGCGAGGGCGCGCGGCGGGAGCTGGAGCTGGCGGCCGGCCCGCAGCGGCCCGCGGTGCAGCACCTCCTGGGCGTCTTCGCCTTCTACCTCGAGGAGCTGGACGAGGCCCGCGAGCGCTTCCTCGAAGTGGCCCGCGAGGACCCGGGCAACCTCAACGCCTGGGCCAACCTGGCACACGTGTACGGGCGGCTGGGACAAGAGGAAGAGGAGGAGGCGTGCGCCGCACGGCTAGCGAGCCTCATGGGCCTGGGCGCGGACCCCGAGGCCGGCGGGGCCGCCCCGCTCCGCGCCGCGCGCTGCCTGGCTGAGCAGGGCTACGCGCACGGCTTCGACGTGGGCTGCGCCAGCCTGCAGGAGCGCGCGCGCGTGCTGGTGGCCGGCCTCGCACGCTATGACAAGGCGCTGAGCTACGGGCAGCAGGTGGGTGACATCCCCGCCCCGCCCCTCCCCACCCTCCGCTGGAAAGGCTGTGGGCAGGACCTCTTTGGTCTGCCAGGTCCCCTCCACCGCTCCACCGGCCCTCTGGCCTGTGGAATACCCTGCCGGTGCGCACCCCCTTCGGTCCCAACAAGCTCTCCTGCTCTGCTCCCCCGCGGGCTGCCAGCCTAGGTCTCTCTCTTGGCAATACCGCAAACCATCCTGGCCAATTCATCGCACATCCTTCTTCCTCCCAACAAGTAAGCACCTGTCCCTGGGCCCCTGCACCTCCACCTACTAACAGTACGGCGAGGCAGCACCGGAAACTCAGGCAGCCTTCCCACTCTTCCTCCCCACCCCCGTCCATTCAGACCCCAGCTCTCCTGTACCTCAGGTCTGCTCCCTGCTTCCGGCCTCCACAATATCCTGCCTGCTCCTCTGGCTTCCTGCCCGGCCGCGTCCTGACCCTCCTGCCAGCCTCAGCCTGGCTGCCAGTGCGGTGTCGCAGTAGCGTCCCTCAGCCCACTCCCTCTGGCTGGCACGGGGATCCTGGCCCCAGGGTTGGCCCTCGAGCCCTCCACCAGCAGCTCTCTGCCTGTCCTCTGCGTGTTCCCCTCGTGAGCCAGGCTGTTGCCACATCCCACGGCCTCTCCGTCCCTGCGGGCCAGGTCTCCTTGCCATCCACCTTGTCCATCTCTCAGCCTCTGCCTGGGGCGCCTGCTGCTCTGTCTGTCCCAGCAGGTCCTCTTGGCCTGGGGCTTCTCTCAGACACCCCATCCCTAGGAGTCCTCCACCACCTTCTCAGGAGGGTCAGAGCCTCCGCTTGGTCCGACTGTGCACCTGCGAGTCTGTCTTCAGCTGGAGCTCTGAGACTTTCTGGTTTTGTTTTTGGTTTTTGGGTACCGGGGATCGAACTCGGGTTCTTGCGCTTGCGCAGCAGGCAGCGAAAGCACTGAGCTAAATCCCCGGCCCTGGAGCTGAGGCTTTGGCAGTGGGGACAGTGCCCGTGGGCACCACCACAGGAAACCCCACAGCTGAGGTATCTTGGATGGCTGTGTGCGCCTCACAGGGCCTAGCGCTAAATAGACAAGTACTAGATAAACTAGTTAGATATACTAGTTATCTCCCGAGGCAGAACAAAATCTGCCAGCACTGGGCAGCTGGGACAGTCAGCATTTATGGTGGCGCCACTGAGTGGTGAGGAGCGGAAGCGTCCACAGCTCAGTCATTCCTCACTGCTCACGGGATACCGTGGCCTTTCTGGGAAGACAGTGCGGGCGGAATTGAGCCGACAGCAGCCATGTTTCATAGTGCTTTAGATCGGTGATATTTAAATAGCAACAAGCCTTCGCACATGGGAAGCCTGAGTGGGTCTGCAGCAGAGCGTGTGGTTTCCGTGGGGGAATGGTGCCAGTCACCAGCTGGGGCACAGACGATGAGGGACAGCAGCTCGGGGCAGAAGCCAAGCGAGGAGACCCCGGGCAGACGGCCTGGCATCCCCTGTGCTCTCACCTCTGCTCAGGACTTAGTGTCTCCAAGTGTCCACTGCTCTGTGTGACATGGGGACAGTAACGGCATGTGCATCTGAGACTCCCTCGGTGGTAAAGTGAGGATCCTGTGCTTGGCTGATGTTGTCATTAATGTTTGCAAAGCTCCTGGAAGAGCAGGCACGGGGACAGCAGAGTCCAGCTGAGCCTGCATCCTCCCGGCCGTGAAGCCTTCTCTCCTCCGTGGAAATACCCTCCCACGGGGCCTTCAGGGCTCCGAAATCCTGAGCCCTGACAGCCAGGTGGCCCTGCAGGGGAGGAGCGGCCAGCACTCCAGGTGTCCGGCTGTGGAGTGGGGCCTGGAGCCCTGGGGGCCCTAAGCTGTCTCAGCTGCAGCACTGCCCATAGCGGAGGCCTCGCTCTGGCCTTCGGTTCTCTCATCTGAGAAATGGGCGCAGGGAGGGCCCAGATGGCCTTCGAGAGCCTTTCCCGCCCTCCCTAGGGGCACAGCGTGGGAAGTGAGCTGAGAGGCAGAGGCCAGGGACACAGCAGAGGGCTGGCTGCTCCCTCTGTACAGTCAGCTCAGCTGGGCCAGGACAGCCCAGCTTGAGCTGCACCCTTGGGCCCCGCCAGCCGCTGCTCCTCAGCTCTGCCCTGAGCAGCTGTGGCCAGGAGGGAGTTGGGGATGTGGACCGCTGTCCTGTTCAACATGTGAGGAGTAGATCAGATCATGCTTGTACAGTACCTGGCACCAAGCAGGGCCTCAGGAAAGAGGCACAGTCAGGGCGACATTGACGAGGGCTTCAGCAAGACGAATTAGGAAGCTTGAGTTTGAGCTCTGTTGTTATTTTGCTCTGTGGCTTTGGGCAAGTCACTTGGCTTCTCTGGTTTCCGTCTGCTTCAGTCTCAGGTTACTGTGATTCTCCAACCAAAAGGTGGAATGAAAGGGCCCATGCACTGGGAGGTTCTGAGCATCTTACATTTACTTCGCGTTGACTGTCTGCTACCCTGCCTTTAAGAAGTTCCTGCCACTGAGACGTGTGTGGAGGGAGAAGCAAATGTGTGTTCCTTCATTAGCTCCTCTTTCCCTGGGCCTGGGTCAGAGGGATGATTGGAGATGTGTCTGTGGCTGGCAGAGTCCACAGGCCTGCATCACAGCAGCACGCTTCCTGAACCACAACAGGGCCCCAGAGAGTAACAGCTGAAGGGCATTTTGGGGACATAGGGACCGGATGTCGGCATCAGCAGTGATCGGAAAGCCCAGGTCCTATGAGCAGTGCAGCAGTGAGTGTGTTTGGAAAAGCGAGGGAGGGAGGCTTCTGAGAGAGGCAGGAGGACCCTGGCGGGAACGGGTGCAGGTGCTCCTGCCAGGGACATGGTGTGTGCAAAGGCCCTGGGGCAGGAGCCTGCACTGAGTGCATGAGGGCTTCTGGGGTGGCTGAATTGCAGCAGGGGAGGATGGCAGCCCAAAGCTACATGAGGAAGGGCACACGGTGGCTCCAAAGAGCTGCCAGCACGGTCTCTGAAGTCCAGTTCTGCCTCCTGCTTTGGGCACATTTCCCTGTCTCCCTCAGCCCCTACTTCATTCATAGTAATTCTGTAGCCCCCAAGCACACTGTGCTGGTTTACCCCTCCCTGGTAGGTACCGCACCCTCTGCCACCCAGCGCCACCCAGCGCCAGCATGCCAGCTCCTCCCAGAGCTTCCTGGCAGAGCTGCACATGGCTGCTTGGGTGACGCCCTTCGCCAGCACCTTCCAGACTGGACCTTCACAGTGCTCACAGGAGCCCGGCCCCAGTGTGCATGACGGGACCTGGGACTGGAGGGCTCCTGCCCAGGGCAGACCTGGTCAAATGGCTTCTAGAGGGGCAGAGAGTCAGGGTGAGGGACCTGCGAGACCCAAGGGGAGCCCTGCAGAGTGGGGGCCCTTGTCAGGGACGGGAGGACGAGGCCAGGGGCGGAGGCAGAGGCAGAGCCCAGGCAGGAAGGAAGGGAGGCACCCCCGGCTGGACAGTCGCCCGGCAGCGGCAGGCAGGGAAGAGCCCAGGAGCCGGAGGTTGAAGAGCGGCTCCAGGGCTGAGCCGATCAGAGAGGACGTTGTGAAGTTGGGGATCCCACCTGGAACCCAAAACAAGCAGTCTTTCTATGCAGGGTGAGGCTCTGTGACTTCCCCTGTCCGCCCTTCCTTCCCTCCTCCGTTCTCCGTCCGTGACAGAAATATGAAGGTCAGATCGTGTCCTCTGCCACCTCCTGTGCACCCGCGGTCCCCAAGCTGCACCTCCTGTTGCTGTCACAAGCTGTCACCAGCCTCTGCTGAGCTTTGTCCCCGGGGGTGGAGCCCTCGGCCTGGGCCTCTCCCATTGTGTGTTTCAACTAAATTTGATGTAGTTGAACAACTCGATTTTGTCTTAAAATCCCTACTTAAAAAAAAATAAGGTAGCTAGAACTTATGTTTCTCTAAAAAACAAAAATAATATCCGTGTCCCAAGCCAACTTAGTTATTTGATTTCCTCCCCTCTTACCAAAATATTGGGCGCTTGGCACACATGAGCCTGGGCACCTGCACCCACACTCACTGAGTGCCCTGTGCTGGCTCGGGCAGCCCAGGTGGGCACCAGTGCGCCAGGCTCTGAGTCAGGACGGCACTTTTGGTGGCACCTTCGGTTTGTATTCAGACCGGGAAGGGCCCTGCTGTTGCGTGCTGGGATCTCTGTGGAGGGCACAGGACCTCTCCAGACAAACCTCGCTGCTACTGGCCTTGGCACCCGACTTGGACCCAGGCCTGGGCGGGGTGGGCTTGTCCACTGGGAATGTGGAATGGAGAAGTGACTCTAGCAGTTAGGTGAGTCAGGAGCAAAGCAAGGACAGCCCCAGGGCCTACACCGGCACTGGAGACCTCGGGCCAGAAGGGAAATGGCAGCTGGGAGCTGCAGTCATCTGCTCACCGTGTAAAGTCCTCATAGGGCCCTCCAAGCTGGGGCAGATTCTTGCCTCCAAGGCCCTCAGTCACCCCACAGGAAGCACTGCCAACCCCCACCCCCAACAGGCTTCTAACCCAGGCAGGTCCTATTTGTAGACGCGGAAGTGGAGCCCGTGGCCTTTGGAGGGGCGGAAGGGCATTGAGGGCATCGGCACACGCGCCGTGTCCCCTCCTGGTGTGGAGCAAGGGCAGGGACAGGCGTGGTGTGCTGCCTGCTTGTCACAGGCGACATTCCAGTCCAGCCGGAAGGACGCATCCTAGACCTGCCCGCTGTGACTTCAGTTTCCGCAGTGTCAGCCTTCTTGGGCCCGTGCGATGAGGTGGAAAGAACAGAGGCGGTGAAGGAGGCAGAGGAGAGCCTGAGTCCCGGCCCTTCCGCCCTGGGCTGTGGGCTGGGCGGGCAGCTTTCTTAGTCTCTTTC